CCTAGACTGCATATTTTCTACAATCGTCACTTAGTAGTTAGTTAGACATATTAAAGGAACAGACTTTCTTGTTATGCGGTGAATTCTTTCTATAATATTGAATCAGAACAAAATTCCGTGTGTATAAATATATTAATCAATTAATATTAACTCAATGTGTATGGGAGTTTCTACTGATATGTCACACTTTTTCAAAAAGGGAGATTCGTCGACTAGGCGAACTATATTTTTACTTCGGTTCTTAACGTGAAATAATATTTATGTTTTCAACCCCCCAAATAGGATGTAGGACTGAAGAGTTCTAATAGAAATTGTTGAATCTATTCAATTGTAGATGTCAAAGATAATCCTAATGTTTGGACAAATCAGTCTTCCAAATGTGTAAATATGAAAACTAAATTTCTTTATTAAAATGGTAGGAAAGATTCGCTCCTCAACTGGTTGTTTTTGATGTTATTGAGTTCTGTAAAACAGACGATTTAATTACGTAGTTTTTGCCGTTATTCTGGACAATTAAACCATGGAACTCAACAATGTGTGAGTATAACCATTCTCTTTCAGTGTTCAATAAATGTGCGATTTCTAACATTTTCGAACATTTACCCGTCTATTTAATGTGTCAATGTTTTATTTATTTATTTTGCGAGACCAAGTGCTGTGAGCCCTTTGCCCCCAAATGCCCTGGTATGACCGAGAGTGGGGAGAGTCAACTCCCCCTCTCGAAATGCTCTCACATGGCCACATGCATACAACCAACAACAGGGAAGTCCTACTCACCGCCTTCTCGCGCCACCGGTGTTGTCTACGAAATTCAGGGGACGAAAAGCGAATGTCCGACGCTTTAACCGGGCTGCTGCATACGGAGAGTCCACTTAGGGGAGTTCGAAAATCTCGATTCCAAACCAATGGTGCACATGGGCTCCAGTATTCTGCGGGAACAAATGGCGTATGAACCACTAGTTGGTCACCGGCTACCATGGGACTGCATCTACTTACGATGCTCCACTGCCTTATGGATTAGACCTTTAGGTCAAAGACTCAGGGTGTGGCCCCCTAAGAACACCACTTGCTTCGGTTCGGGCACCCGGGCAGTATCTCAGCCCTCACACAAATCTGATGAGATCACAATTATTTCACAAAATACTATGCTGGCTCCAATCAGAATTCAGACATTTCACATTCACTTAATAACACTCATTTTTTTATTGTTTCAGTGCTGCATACAAGAATATAACTCTCACTGAGGGCTTCATCTTAATAATCTAAAGCCAACTACATATGTCTTCTTTGAATACGTCAGTGCAGTACATCGCAGCTAGTAGGATGAAGAAAACAAAGTGGACGTTAGTACTTCAAATGAAACTCCGAGTAAAAATCATGCTCTAATGAGCAACACTTACTGAATGAGAGGAAGGATATTAGATATTCCACATATACTGAACATTGAGAGGCAAATGCTCTACAAGTCTTCTTAACAATAAGAAAAAACGACAAGTACTCCTGTTCTAAATTTGTTTTTACTGATTAAAAACTGCATGATACGCCCATATATCTTTATTAAATGTTAGCAACCCAACAGAAAGTTGAGTGCATGTCATTTTGAGTATTCATCGTAATAGTACAAAGAATTCGTTCCAACACTGTAATATTTTGTTACGTGAAATTATTACCGTAATTGTATTGAATAACTTACTTACTTACTTACGCCTGTCACTCCTAAAGGAGCATAGTCCGCCAACCAGCATTCTCCAACCCACTCTGTCCTTGGCCTTCTTTTTTAGTTCCATCCAATTCTTGTTTATTTTTCTCATGTCTATCTCCACTTCCCGGCATAATTTGTTCTTTGGTCTTCCTCTTTTCCTTTGGCCTTGAGGATTCTAAGTGAGGGCATTAATTATTTATCTTTTAACGAGTCTAGATAAATAACCGTTTTACATACATTTTTATAGAAAGGTGGAAAAAATTTACTAGAATTATGATAAGTCGGGTCAAGAAGGAGAGATTATGTTTTCGTTAACTAGGTGTAACACTTTCTAACATTAGTTTCATTCCCAGTGTGACATTAAGTCAGTATGATATTGATTTTTTTAATTTTCCAGTGTGACATTATATCAGGTCAATCTATTTGTGCCGATAATTATGAACTTTCACCCTGTGTGGTAATTATATCTCATGTTATTCTATGTGAATTTCATAGGTTTTACAGTAACCCTGTGCATATTTTCGTTTATATCACGTTTACTAGCTAATCATTAAATGTGTATAAAATCAGTATATGAATGAATGTATTTGTTTTAATGATGACATGACTTCGGACGACTTTTTCTGGGGACGATCTTTTGGGGAATCAATACAACCTTTTTGCACCAATTATCCGTGTTCTTAATATGTTCCGTGGGAATTACGTTGGTTCTCGGTTACAAGTATAAGCTGTAAGATCACGAACATAACAGAATCGACACAAACATGACAATTTACCAGTATTTCAAGTAATTAATAATTTCCAAACTGTTTTTGTAAACACCATATCTTGGGACCGTTTAGTGAACACTGATCTCCAGTAACTCTGTATCTAACCTTGGTCCATGATGAAAGCTGTCTGCACATTAAACTAATCTTTACAATTCTACTCAACTTCTTTATGGATCTAAAAATCGTTTGCCACAACAACAGTATTAATATGAGAGGCGGTGAAAATGATATTACTCATGTGTTCACTAGTAACTGAATGGAGGTAACACTCTTCAAGAGTCCCATACTGAGAGAAAACAGCTATCTAATCCTGTCTGTTTCTAAAGAATTTCTGAACAAATTTCAGTCCATGATTCAAACTAAAATGATAAATTACTATTGAAAATCCGGCTTTTAACATTAGGACGAATATTCCTAGTCTTAGACCTTATTTTATTACTTTATTTAAACATAAAATTTTGTTTTCTCACTTGACCTTTTTTCATTTTTACCTCCAGTTTGTTTTAACTTGCTTATTTCCCACTGATTTTAAGAAAAATATGCTTGTAATACATAATTTATTGCTTGAATTCAATTTATTCTTTTACATAAAAACCCCATTAGTTATTACACAATGTCATATTAACTAATACCTAATCTATAATGAATACAATCCACAAATTAAAGCAATCTCTACAAAAGCTCATCCAACTTAACCATACTCATTTATTTCCAAACTTCATGTAATCAATATTCGTTTACTTTTGAACTATATCCTAACGTTTTAGAACATTTTAAAACTTAGATTTGATTTAAGTGAAATCATAAATATGGGTCAAGTAGTTTTCTTTCTCATTTCCTGATTTTCAAGGTGTTGTTGCTTAATTACCATTTTCTATTGCTCATATAAAATTTTAATAAATCAGTTTTATACTACTTTGCAAGTAGTTTGAGATTTATGATGATTTTTTATACTGGAGCTTGGACGTAAATGCTGGTAGTCTATGGTGAGTGAATTTCAATTTACGGATGAGTTCCTATTCAGTAAAGGTGCCTGTGATTCATGAGTTAGATTTCGAGATGATTTGTTGACATATCAACGAGTATCAGTATAGGGTTTCATGAAGATTATATAATTTTCATAGTGTAAATCACGAAATGATCTTAGTTAAGGAACCATTGGGAATCAAGAAGCACTGGACAGTTACTGTGCCCTAATATGAAATTTCTCAGCACTGAGTATCCACCACACTAGCACAATGAAAGGATTATAGAATCTTTAGCCTTCAGTGCAAATAATTAGCTTTTAAATAACTGAGCCCCTACCTAATGGATAGTGTACGTCTTTAACATCAATCGATTCACGATATTGCACGACTATCCTCTATTGTCTGGAGTGGATGACCATCTCACCCGACGTGGTTGAACTGCACGGGTTATTTTAGTTTTGCAGTTATTGCTGAATATTACTAATTACACATTTTTACTTTATGCAACCAATGACATCTATAATTAAATAATTTGAAAATTGATATTATTAATCGATATTGTTATAAGATACATGTAAAAAGTCAACTATTTGTGGAGTGATTGCTGTTTTTCTTACAGTTAGCTATTATAATCATGATTGCACGAGCTTATATTCACCGTCTAATGTTGTAACAAAAAGGGGGAATTCATTCCTGAATATACTATTTTGAGTGGCACTTCAGTCGCTGGAGGAGCTAAAGAACACATTCAAGGGAATTCCAAATAACAACATTTACTCACTCCACGACTTGTGATTCCAATTTCCACAGGAATAAAAACAATAGTAAACAAAAATCATCGCCAGTGAAAATGAGCTAAACGTTGATATCTATCAAGATAACTGATGGACATTAGACTGTCATTTGTTGAAATATGCATCACAACGATGGATGGAATTACTTGCTCAATGAAAAGAATTCATAGATATGCAACTAAATTGATGCAGTAGTTTACAAGATTACTAGACTTGCTGTATAACGTCATTACATCTGTAACCATAAATAAAACCCGTCATTTTGTTACCTTTATGACGACTAGATTTATATGACTCCTCAAGAATTGACATTAGGCTAGTGTCAGTTGGTCAAGTTCTGCAATCTTGTGAATAATACATCTGTACTTGCAATGGAATAAAGTAAACTAAATGTAGAAACAAACTAAATATTGAACACTAGAATACGTCGGATTTATTTGGCAAAATCTCAAAATTGCACTTTTTGAAATCAGTAATCCATTGCTCCAGAAGATTCATGCTTGTTCTGCATGTTTTGCTCAGTATCTCCAACTATTCTTTTTCTCTCGAACTTCTTACTGCTTTTTCCTTGTAGCTAATTGTCAGTCTTTACGATGATGTGAAATATAAGAATTTAAACAGCTACACAATACTGACTTAAACAGGACACCTTTGAGATCCTGGTATCTTGATACAGCCAGAATGAATTTTCATGAATGTCAGTTAGAATCAAACTATTACTGATCCGTTAGATTTACTAACTGGACTATAAAGAAATAAAAAAATCATCTACAACACATCCTACTTTCGATTACATACTAACATATATGACATTTAGAAAGGAAGTAAATTAAATCTTCACATCCAAATGAAATACTGACAATAAACATCCCCTTATTCTAATCATCATTTAAGGAAAACCAAATAACTAGTACATTCGTGAAAAAAAATGATACAAATGTACATGAACTAGTTAGGCGTAATGTACTAAACAAATATTCATGAACATTTCTTTAAACACAAAAGAATAAACATTTAATTTACATAGATATGATGAAAGTAAACATATACTGCTGAATCGATCAGATTTAAGATAATAGTTCTCAGATTTCTGCGCGAAATTCAAAATCTAGTGACCGATAACTTGTACTTAAGATTAAAGGGTAGGGGTATAAACTAGAGATTCTTAAAATAACGATAAGAAAGTGATTAACTTTTCATGGAAAAGAAAACAAATAAAACGAAAATGTACATAACATTTGATATGATTGATAGATTTTCTAGAGTATTCTAAAAGATGGGTTTTGTGGAGATATTAATCAACATATACTCACTAGTGACTGGCTTCACGAGTTCTAGTGAGTAGTGACCAGTGGAGTTCAACCAGGTCTGTTGTGAGATAGTAACTCACTGAAGACAATGGTGAATGTGTCGCTCAATTTCGTGGATTAGTTGAAGTTACACATTAACACCGTTGGATGCCGGCCGGCTCAGTGATCTAGTGGTTAAGCGCTCGCGTGCGAAACCAGTAGGTCCTGGGTTCGGATCTCGCAGGAGGCGAGGTCGTAGATGCGCACTGCTGAGGAGTCCCACAATAGGACGAAACGGCCGTCCAGTGCTTCCAGGTTTTCCACGGTGGTCTAGCTTCAACTGACTCATGATCTGAACCATTGATATTCTAAAAGATTTCGAGATTTGAATTTAAGACGTTATCTACATTAGTGTTTATGATTATGTATGGTTATATAACATTTACTAGTACTCTAATCCTAACACATTTCCTTTATTGCAATAAATAATTAAGTATGAAAGAGTTCATCAATCATGTCAATACTATTTATCTACTCTCATTTTATAATTCTTTTTTTTTTTTGCTTTCTTAATTATTTCATAACTAAAACACTATTTACTGATTAGTTGAAAAATTATTCAAATCATCAAACTGCATCACGAGGCAAACCCTAACTTTGAATCCTGAAGGGAAGCAGAAAAGTGGAAGGCCAAAGAACACATTACGTCGGGAAATAGAATCAGATATGAAAAGTGTGAATAACAACTGGAAAGAGCTGGGAAGGATTGCCCAAGACAGAGTTGGATGGAGAATGCTGATGAGTGGCCTATGCTCCATCACGAGGAGTAACAGGCGTAAGTAAGTGAAAAGTTATTTAACGTTATTTATCAGTTTAGTTTACTTCTACGTCCGAAAACTAATAACAAGTAGATGTTTATAACTTTGAATTAAATCAATTTCAAGATTTTAAAAGTCTGAAACTACTGCTATTTTAAAATCTGAAATATTTTGACTTCAGTCAAGTTTTATAATATAGTTTAACTAGTTAACCCTACAATATCACATATCATATGAAGATAATAAAAAGTGAATTTCTGATAATATACACTCAACCAAACATACTGCATAACTCGATGAAAGGACATCAACTCTTTCATGACTGTAAATACCTTGTTATTAACGAAAGCCGAATAGCATGAAACTTAGATTTAGTCTCTTCTGTTTACCTTCGAATTAGGATGTAGCGGATGCCCAAAGGTAGAACCACATAACTAGTATATTTAGTGTACCTAAGTAACAGACGAAAATGACATATTTTTACTAACATACTCACACACATGTGTTATACCGCTTATTTACTGAACCAGGAGAATTGTCACCAAAAAAATTACGAATAATTCCAATACTTGTTCAATAGAAATAAATCATGGTTTTATTGACTGTTGTTACTGACATTATTTTGTTTTTATATGTTCACTTTTTTTAGAAAAAAAAAGATAATTTCTACAGAGTAACAGGAAAATCCAAAAAAGGATATAGAGAAACTAGAGGGAAAATGAAATCAGTTAGTCAGATATAGACAACACAAGATCTGGTTATGTATACACACATCTATATCTGTTCAAATTGTCACATCTCTAGTCCGTAAAAAACAAAACAATGTGATATAGAAAGAGGAAATTAACGAAAATGAGAGGCGCGTTAAACATTTAGTTCAAAATGAATGGATAATACAATGAGTGAAGTGGTAGTGCACAATGAATAAATCAATAATAGTAATAATAATACATGGAATTACAAAGTGTGTATGCAATGAACATGAAAATAATCATAGTATAATTCAAGACAAAATATAATAATTCGGTGGGAAAAAATATGAATAAAAGCTTATTCATAGAAAAGGTCCTGTTTGTTGATCATTAAAATGAGTGGAATATAAACAAGTCAAAATGTTATGTGGGAAAACTAGGGATTATACATGATCAATACAATTGGTTATCGATGAGAAAAAAAAGAAAACAGCTATACACATTAAACCATAACCGGAGAAAATCTATGTATTACATAAATTTGAAAGAAACAGACTCGTATTATTGTTATTATTATTGTCTATTTGTCTTCTTCTGTTTTTTCTTCTATTTCTTCATCAAATTCAACAGTAGTATATTCTTCTAAAAGATCTGCTTGTTCATAATACTTCATTGCTATACGTCCTTCATGAGCTTCACTAGCACCTTCAGCGGCTGATTCGAAGAGTTCGTCTACAATTTTATTTATTTTTTCATAAAGAAAATTATCAGTATACAATATAAATAAACGAAGGTATGTCAAGGGGCGCTGAAACATTTAAATCAATACAATTTGTGAAAAATTCGTACAAAAACGAAAATATGCTAACAATAGTCACATATAGTTTATTATCAAGTGAATGTTGAAGGTGTTATGCTTTACGAGTAAGGAAAACGGTTAATTGAATCGTATCTTCATCAATAATTAGTTTATGCAATGCATGTATAATTTAGACAGTAAAAATCAGTAAACGGATGATCCCATCCTATTATTATTATTATTATTATTATTATTATTATTATTATTATTATTATTATTATTATTATTATTATTATTATTAATTACATAAAGAATATCATCAAGACTACAAAAAGATTATCTAGGTCACTAGCAATAAGTGTAGATCACAACCCCCCCCCCAAATCAATACTATGCACGCAAATAGAACACAAAGAAAAGAGAAAATAAGTCAATACAATTTAATCATTCCAGTCAGAGTATAATATCTACCTAAATCTTCATCTTGAGCTACAAATATTCTGTATTATCTTATAAGATGGATGCATATAAATATTGGTTTGAATTCATGAATTAAACGTAAAATGATAGATGACTGTTTACAAGTAACAGTAGCACCGAGTTTATCCAACGTATTTATTATCTTATGACTGGTAAATCTCAAATGTAATACAAAAAAAGTTAATGATTGGCTAATTGGGAAAAAAATAGAAGTAAAATATTGGAAGTGTTTTGATCAGCTTAGAGACCACAACACATCCAACATACTTTAAACTATTAATGTTCTTTATCATCTCTAAACAGTAAAATAACATGTTAGGCCTAGTAAATCAAAGCTTTTCGGAAACTCGGAACTACTCAGTACTTGGTGACGTTGTCTAGTGTGAAAGTAAACTGGAAGATAGAGGAGGTCAAACCGAAGAAGACACTGACAATTGGACCATATCATTCTAACAAGTATATACTACCTGGTTGGGGTCCGCATGATTACCGTAATCAATGGTTCGAGACTTTGAATACCATGGTTCAAAATAACTTGCGATGACACAGGTGCATCCATTATTTGTTTTCATATAGATTATAAGCTTCCGAATTCCTCATAACATCTTTCATTTCACTTATTTATATTTTCCAGAATTGTATATTTGATCCTCAATCTTTTCCATTACCATGTATAAAATCACTACCCCTACTATTCTGGGATTCGGTCTGACAATTTCAGTTCTCTGTTCTAATGAGGTATGGGAACCTGAACCGAGGTACATACGTACCAGGCGACTGACTGACTTAGTATTGATATTTAGTTGTACTGTTATTATATACACCATATTCGTGATCACACATGTGACACATATACATATAGATTAAAACAACATGTAGTGCATGAAAGATAATAAGCAATAAGCTTTTTTTAAAATAGAACTATTATGATTAGGGTTGGAATCTAGCCCGCGATTTTCGTCCTATTTAGTACTCGTCAAGCGGAATCCACTTACCAGTGTTGATGCTCCGTTATGATCTGTCAATCTGATTCAGTCATAATTCCTCGCTTCCTAAGATTCAACACACCCATTTATACAGGAGTAAGAAGACTAAGAATCCGTATAAAGCTTCAACCGTAAATTGAGCCAGTATGTACATATAAGTTGCTAAACTGATCTAGACAAAAGTAAATAGAATGTGACTTTGGCTAGCTGAATAACTTGATTATTAACAATACCAAGCTCTTACACACCTACATGATGCCCTATGTGAATGTATCTCAAGTGATATTACAGCAACATTTTGTAAAACAGAACCCGATAATTTCACAGACTTTCTTTTTCCCGAGTCATTTATTGTCGAATGACCTGTTAATCATCTTGATAGCTTCTATTTAACCCTTCTTATGGTATATATGTTAAAATGAGATGCTTAACTTGACCTTTTAATTCATTTCTAATTCTCCTGTGATAGCTACTTCTATGTATTAAGCCATTCGTTATTGTTTTGGTGCATTTCTATGTATCATTCTTAATTAAGCAGAATATTTCTTGTCTTGTTGATAAGTATTACATAACCAGAATAAAATGTAGATGTAGAGTCTCACTTTAATCACTGACTCATTGGAAAAAAATACTAATAGGCTAAATCGAAGTGATAGCATTCTGTAAATCTTACTGATTTATTCTTTCGCTATGAAAAAAAGACAAACAAACTTGTGAACAATTAGCTAGTTAGAATAAAGCTAGAATAATAATTGGCGTTAACTCCTAAACCGAATGAACCAAGGAAATTAGCTCTAAACTTAAAGCAAACTCATGGCATTATTTATTTATTTCCCAGTTCAGTGGATATTAATTTGGGGGTTTGAAAAGAAGTGTAGTGGGTCCGAATCCTGGCGTGAACACCAACAAAGATGTAGGCACATCCAACTGAAGAGTCTCAAATAGGATTCCCCTGGTAGATCTTATTTAACTTTACTTGTAGCTCATAGCTTCGATAAAATTGTTACGGATTCAAATATTGTAAGCCAAATTAATTATTTACAATGTCCAATCGAAAACCTTGGAATTTGCGAAAACACCAACATTAACACTTGAAAATCTTGAGAGACATGTATATAATTTATTAAATAGAAAATTAAATAGGATTTTGTGTCAACTTTCGTTCTGGCTTTATTCAAATTCATAGATGGAACTAATTGTATGAAACTAACTAGTTACATATTCTCATTGTTAAGACAATAAACCAAGCTTATCAGTAGAGGGACTGTGGATACTGTAGAGAGATCGCCAGCCGATCCAAGTTAGGTAACAATTGAAAACCTGAAGTACTTGACAGTTGTTTCGTTCGAAGATTCAGGGTTCGATCTCCGGTAGCAGGATTGTGAATGCGCAAGGTTGACGAGTTTCTAAAGCCACCAGGTTTTCAATAGCTGTCTAACTTGGATCAATTTATAACTTCAATAATAATATTTGAAAGATTGATTGAACTCTTCTGATTCAAAAAACCAAATAGAAAGACTTATTAACGTGAAAATTTACACTATACAGTCGGCAGATTCAAACTATTATGCTTGGAAATAATATCGGAACAGAGAACTACCAAAACAAGATCATCAGGTCAAAAATAAAAGATAAATAACGGTTAACTAAATACTGACGACTTAAAAGCTGATGAAAATGATGAATTGATGAATGTGTACTAAAGAATGTATGGTCGATTCTGAAATAGCACCGAAAGTCTATTATATTAGGGCAAATTTGGCGCTATGATATCAAGCGTAAGTTATCGATAGTTAACCCTAACATTTGTTAATCATGCTAAAGATTACAATCGTCTGTAGTACTATCATCGTTATGTGTTAGGACTCTTTTGCAAAAGCTGAATCCTGATTAGCTATTTTCTGATTGATCGGTCTCGAGATTACTTTCAAATTCGCTTAAAGCCGTCGGTATAGTTCAGATTTAATCTAAAATAATAACTTACAAGCTTTTATTCTATCTCTGACTAAACCATGACCACCTTTAGCGTACATTTCTCCTAATCGACCTTGTAAACGATAAATTGGCCATTCAGATAATGAATGAAAACCAGAACGACTCCTTTTCACAAACGATGGGTTGCGTTGATTTGTTTCATCATCTGTAGCATCATCATCATAAGTAACAACTTTAGCCGCCATTTCATACCAATGTGCAGCTGCTAACCAGTCAGGTTCTTGTTTCCGCCCATTATTAGTATTATTGATATCATTACTAGTATCTGGAGAATAATAATCGCCATGATAATAAGCTTCAGCTAAATAAAGCATAGCCATACGATCTCCCGCTGATGCAGCCGCACTGATTAAAGTGAAACCATGTGCTCGAGATTCCACTGGATCAGGCTAAGTTAAAAAAGACAAGTAAGTATACTATACACATGAGAGATGGGAAAATTGTAGTAAACAAAAGTAATCTCATAACTTATTAGGAACTTTCATTAATTCAGTTGTGACCTAAATGACTCAGTGTTAATATCGCTGACTGTGAAGCTGGATGGCATTGGATCCACCAGCGAGCATCAGTCCCCTCAAGATCACAGGTACACTCTGCTGACGGGTGTCAAATAGCACAAAGCCTATGTGTCAAGCAGGGTTTTATGTAAACTACCTCCAACCACCATCTTTCATCAAAACATAGACTAGTAGCCACATTGCAACTTGATCAATAGGATGCGATCAGCACTAAGAAGAATTTGACATACATGATACTGATAAATAATCGGTGGTCAATTTAATTGTAAATTCATAATCTATGTGACCCAAGAATTCCTTATGAAGAAGAAATAAAATATTAACAAAAACAAGAAACAATTTAACGATATGAGGGCGATACTATAATTTATGGACGAACCAACGAAACTAAGGAAAACAATTCTTGGATTTCTGCGTGAAATTCACTCATACATAAGTTAAATAGTATTTGGGCAGTATAGCTGATCTCAGTTCCTGAGGAAAACCCTTATTTTAATTCTCAACCCTAATTCAACATACTAATTTATAATCCTATGTTGACTCTAGTAAGTAAGTAGTTATTTCAAGGTCACCCTAGCGTTGCTCAAAGTTCGTGCATAAATATGCCTTTAGTGCAAATAATTACGAATATGATTTTAAGTAAAACTTAGATGTGTTAGACAGACCGAAATCTGGATTCCAAGGAAATAGTTAAGCACTCTAAACGATAAACTGAGAAACATCCTATGAACCCAAATGTTTATTTAAAATTTGCCAATAACCATATAAGCAAATTATATGTATTCAAAAAGATATAAAAATGTATTCGTCAAGAAGTTTATCATTAACATGATTTTTATGGAAAACTCTTTGAAAGTGTTGCCATGTTTACCTAGTATCATTGTACTACCACTTCAGTATTTCACAGTAAGTCGATACATGGATACGCGACGAATCCTCCAAAGATAGATTATTAAAAATACGGAGCATGTGTACAAACACATCTGAGACAATTAATTATTATTGAAACGGGTAATAATAATTCAAACAGAATAAGACTAATGATTCATTTTTATCCCCTTATAATCGTATACTTTCCACAAGCAATTGTTCCATATAAGTATACTTTTTGCATCCATCCTCGTTAATTCTATTAACCATACTGCATGTTTTTATATGTGTAATTTGTTTGTATGTATGTCTGTACTTACTTATCGTATCCACTGTTTATTTGAACCATATAAACTGAGACAGAAACACTTAGCGCGTTGGTTAGTGTGGAGAATTCGTGCTGTATGCACCTATCTCCTCCTATAGTTCGCCTACATAAATGAATGCATGGGATATATTTATCTCGTATCTCGACTTTTGATATTGCTTTCTAGGAACGCGGCAGGTCCTAGTACATGTACGAAATTAATCCGGGATGTATATCAGGCATAAAACAATTTATGGAGTCAGAAAGACTATTCTATAGAAGTGGTGAGGCCAAGCTAGAGTTTTACATCATTGGATTCCGGCTACAATTATCTTGAAGTTAAGCGTTCGTGCGCGAGGCCGAAGGTCCTAGGTTCGATTTCCAGTTGTGGGGTCGTCAGTGAGAAACGATGAGCAGTCTCATGCTAAGACAGAACGGCCGTCCAGTCGTCGCAGGTTTTCAACGGCTGACTGACGTTGATCGGTTTGTGATTTCTATGAAATAATAACTATCTATTAGTTTCTTTGTATCCGAAAGTCTTAATGACTAATTATACCCTACTTAATTGAATTCGCTGAGTTCAAAACAAAATCATTAATTATCAGCTGTTAATCAACGATGATCCTAATTGAGTCAACAAATCTAAACACTTCAACCATTATCTTATTTTCAATGATAAAACTGAAACAGTAAATAGACTAACTTTAATTGGACATTCCGATAATGGACCATCAATCATTAAATTCAAATAATATTGAGCTAAACATTGAATAGCATCTAAACAACCAAGTTTAGCTGATTGTTCTAAATGAAATAAAACTGATTCCCAATTAACATTTTGTGGGCGATTTAATTCATTCAATTGATTTCCATTCAATTCTTGCTCAATATCTATAGAAGGTTGATGCTTTTTGATTTCATTGCACTTTAATTGACAATAACCGGTTTGATGCATTAAAGCTAAACGACCAGAAGCATGTAAACGAGCCAATTCATGATGTATCTGGTAAAGAAAAGGAAATTGTTTTTCATCATATTAAGTTGAATTTCATTAAAGTACTATAGAGTATATTAGATTGATGTTCAATTGTAGTTTTTTTAAAATTTATCAGAGCATTGAAAATATCTTTTCGAAAGGAAGTTGAAGATCTTACAATGAACAAAGATAAAAATCAGAATTACAAATAAGTAAACTGTTATTCTATATTTTTTTTAAAAGTTATAATCCAATCAACCCATATTTATACAGACGATGAGGTTCTCCATTCTGACCTGACATATTTTCATAGAACAACAGTAGGATTTCATATGTAACACTGACTGGTTTATTGTACGGAGCTGAAACTTAAAGAATTACTACAACAATCATCCAAATGGTACAAGTATTTATAAACAGTTGTCTACGCGAGATACTCAATGTCCGTTGGCCGGATAACATCAACAACAGCCTATTGTGGGAGAACAAACCAGCTTCCAGCTGAAGAGGAAATTAGGGAAAGACGATGGAAATGGATAGGACATACATTGTGCTAAAGTCCTGTAGAATAGACACTGGGAGGGTATCTAGTGTGGTTATTCGTCTAAGACGATGAAAACCGAGCCTTACAACAATAAGCTAATGTCCGGAGCTTTAATCAGGTTGGTGGGCTCCAGGATCCTGAGGGAACAATTGTCGGTCCCCTGATACCACGGTAATGTATCTACTAACGTTGCTCCACTGACTTGTGGATTAGACCTCTAGATCAAATGCTTGAGGAACGGTTCCCTAAGAAAACCACCTGCTTTACCTCTCACAAAAACTGAATAATTTGGGTGGTGCATGTGTATTTGGTGCCTCGTACTAATGCTTATGTGTTTAAATGAATAAATAAATAATTTAAAAAAAGGTCTGATTGTGTCAATCTCATGTGAATTGTTTGGTCAAGGTGATTCTACATAAGACATTACTGTTTGTTTGAGTGTATGATGGAGGGTGTGGAAAATGTGTAATTCGGAAAAGTGGCGTTTAAATTTGAGTGAATGTATGCGTGTAGATCGTATGGAAAAAATGAATCGAGTTAAATATTCTATTGTTTTTCTCATTATAATATATAATTTATACATAAACTCAACATCTCATGACTTATAATTATTTTTGGTGGAAAACATTTGTAATGAAGAAAGTTTTTAGTAAATTGTGTTGTAAACTCCATTTGTTTCATTTGTATTTTGATGACAATGTTTAAATTTGCAGTTTCAAAAACAAGTCGGAACGTGTTCTGATAAAGTGCTAAGTACTTTATGATAGTTTTTAGTCAAAGTTAAGTAGTACTAATGAGTTTTTTATTTGTAACGATTATTTACGATGACTGCGCAACTATAAAGTGTAGAAGTAGCAGACTATGGACAGAAGGAACTGGTGAAAATTTAACTTGAATTCCATGGAAAACCTGGAAGTACTGGATGGGTGTTTCGTCCTAGTATGGGACTGCTCATCAATGTGCGCGCGGGATATATACTGGTGAGGAGTTCCATACTAGAACGAAATGGGTATCCAGTGCTCTTACGTTTCCAATGGTGGTCTGATTCAGATAAGTTGATTCTTTCAATGAAATTCAACAACCTCCACAACCCTCATACTGAAGATTTAACTTGAAATTCTGCACCGGACTTAGATATTTCTGTTGCTTATACACATGTGCTATATATCGCCTTCGGCTACATTCTAAAAATTATTATTGGAAGCCGGTAACTGGGATATAGATATACATTTTGTTTTATTCGGGATAATTTTTATGACTGTATTTCCATTCACTACAATAGAAGTAGGTAAACTAAGGCCAAAAAGTTGATTTATAAATCCGTAATAAACAAAGAGGTCAGAAGAAAGATAATTTATAATTATTTTAAAGAAACATCGCACTTTCTGTTAAACTATTTACAAAATGTTTGAAATCTAACTCGATCTGCCGTGTACATAAATCGAGAAACAAAACTAACTTCATTTCCCAATATTAAGATATTAAACAATCTCAATGGGTTTTTTACAATACATTTGCTAGATTTCAGCTATTAAGAATAAAATTTCACGACATTTTTGGATACTTCAAAGAGTTCAGATCACAGCTTAATTTGTTGACAGACAGATTTCCATTTGACCACAAGAACATGAATCATTATTTTCAAGTAAACCCATTAAACCTCCCGGTAGACAACAACCTGAGAGGAGAACCCAGAACAGAGTTGGTTAAGGATCTTGGTTGGCCACCTTTGCTCTACGAGGAGTGACATTAGAAACTTGATTGAACAACACGACTGATATATTTTGGCTTTTGAATACTATCAAGTGGATTCCTCGAGATACTAAGAGAGTTAGTCAACTAGAAAATACACAGTTAAAAAGTTATCAAAATAGAGGAATTAACCTCTATACATTCCAAAATGCACACATAGGTAGAGCGAAATTTGATAGAAAATACGAACTAGGTGTTTTATATTGATGGCTTTCGATTATCAAACATGTCGCTAAGTAATCCAAATGTAACTGATTTAAACAGTATACATACACACACTAGCATCATTAAACAAGTATTGTTTAAAAGCAAAGAAACGGAGACAATGATGCATAGACGATTTATCATACAACATCTAACATGGTGAAACAAATTAGTCTTGGGGATATTAACTACTGAATATAATTATACGACGGTTAATTTCGACACATTCCAATCAACTGAAATTGATTTCAAGAGATCTTATGACATTTTCTAGCGTCAATGTCTCCTTTTCTGTAAAAACTCAACTGAAAAAGGTCATACTTCCTCTAACAACTCATAAAAACGAGAAAAGCCTTTACTAACTGTTTATTTGTTATATAAATCGCAATCTAAGATGATTGGAGGTTGTTGTGTCTTGTTATTGGAGTTCAATATGGCCTACGATGTCACGAATCTAGCAACAAACACGATTGAGCTACTCTAATATGGTCGGTTCTCTTCGGAATTGGAAACAGTCATTTTCACAGAATACATCAAACCTCGACAGCTAATACAGAAAGAAGACGGAATTGTAGGTAACTTGATATTGAGATAGGGACAAGCAACACAACCGGAATTGGTACAAAAGTTGTTACTATAGTAGCAGAGTATGAACTTTGAGCATACAGCAATTTAGAGAAATAAAAAAACGATGACAATCAATCCGAGGGCAAATGTCATGAAGGAAATCGAATTGGCACAAATTGTGCGAGCTTTTATTTTTTCTGAAAAGATCTTAGCATTTTTAATAAAATTCGACTTTTCTTGTGATCACTCTAGCAGAAGTAATTGACAGGAAACCTTGCTTAACCCAGGTTTCGCGGTATCTGACATTCATCAGCAAAGTGTACCTATAACTGATGCTTCCTAGAATCAGTCCTCCCAAGAGTACAGGTACACCTTGCCGACAAGTTTCAAACGGGGTTTCTTGTTGACTGCCTACAACCACCACCTCGTCTATCACATATAACGCGCAAATTCGAGTCATCCAGACTAGTGAACACATTAAAACTTGATCGATAGGATTCTGTGAGCACTAAAAAAGAAGAATCTGATATGTATGCCTTTGGTCACCACCCGGTAGTCAATCAATTGGAAATAAGTTTTAATCACCTAACCTGTTTACTATCGAACAAAGCATACTTCAAGGTCGCTATGGATTGAGTAAAAAATGTATCCGTATAGAAAGACGAAGTCAGTATGCTTCTTTGTATTTCAACATATACTACCATAAAGTTTCGTAGTGAAACTACTCAAACAATTTAAGTAGCCTATGTATATCATCATATTACTATAAACAGACCAGAATACAACTTCAATACACAGAAAGCAGATATTTTCGCAATTCAGTGAAAGTAAAGGCTCTCCCGACCAATTATCATTATTGTTGAAAATCATTTCATTTTCTGAGATTCTTACTGCTCAGAGTTTTGGGGCCGGATATTATTTTTCTGGAGAGAAATACTCTTTAATGCGGTCAGATATTCATAAATTTCGAAATAATCTTTTATATTTAATGAGAAGGAAATTCAATAATCAATATATTTAATTAATATATCCCCATAATTATTTTGATGACAATCCTATTGTATTCATTATAATTAATACATGAAAATGATTATCATACAAGTAAAATTAATTTCAGCAGCATAATAAGATATTAATAAATTATCAATAGTAATAAAATGGTCATATACTTACTAAACCTAAAATTACAGTATCAGCACCATGTAAAGCTGCAATGGAACTGCTTCGATGACCAGCTTGATGTAAACGAAAAAATTCAATGAGTTCAGCTTCCTAATAAGAAAATAATTAAACAAAAATAAATGTAACACTACATATAATAATCTTTTATAAAATCATGATTATGTTGAGCAAATACATATGATAAATTAATTAGATGGACACTATTTAATATTCTAAAAAGAATATGTTATTTATTGCCTATTAGAAATGCAAATAAATGTCATAAATGAAATTTGCTATTGATTCAGAATGTAACAGATTCAAGGTTTGTGATGTAAACTATGAAACTATGACTAAGTATATATAAACTCGATTCTTCAACTAAAGCTTGGAAGGTAATATTCCAAAAGTAAGTCGTTGAACTATGGAATCATTGTTCTATATTTCAGGTATACAAAGTAAAGAAAAAAACTTCAATGTATATGTTTAAAAACAAACTTTTAAGTGGTTCAAGATGTTTCCAACTTCCACAAATCACATGCGTTTACATTACAAGCAATATAAAAAGGCTGATAAAATACATAAAAGCTTTATCTCAATGTCGTTTATTACATTAATCGATCAATCAAAATCGATGTGGAACCTGGGCATTACTGTATGAACAAATATCCGTAGTTGAATGCTCCAGATTTTTTTATATACACTAGGATTGACTTCTTATTGTTGTAAACGGTTTTCCAGCTCTCACCGTTATTTAAAAAGTATTTTTCACCCCTACCACTAAATTGTTTGTGCACTCCCATCACACATTAACGTGATTATTAGTCATGTATTTATGTTGAAAATACTATAATATCCATAATTCCGGGCTGTTGAAAAAAACTATCCTAAAGATAGGCTGTTTGTGAAGTGTTCAATCCAAATTTACTTCTTTCTATTATATAATAATATTAAATTGAGAACTATTTCACCGTAGTATAGCACTTCTCATTGATGTTCACTTATAACCTCATAAGGGGACGAACTCATCAGCTTCAACCTGTGTAGTTAGCACAGCAGCCTTAGACCATTGCGTAGAAATCAAATGGCCGGTTCACGATATCTCTCGATTACCACCCGATGCTTTCAAAGTCAGCAGATTTAAAATCCCTGGTGAATCATATAATGAGATTCACACAATACTGTAATATGAATTGAACAACCTATGGTAAAAAGAAATAGCATACAGCTGTATCAACAAGTGTATGGGATCTCATTTGACAACTTCTAAACAACTCACATTCGGAAATGATATTGGTTGTTTATTTTGAAATGACTTTAAGTAATAAGAAATCGGAATAATTGATACTATGAAAATTCGGTTTAATAATCTAAATTCCAGATCAAACAGAGTTCCTATTATCAGACATTAGACACTCACTATAACTTACAGATCACTATTTAAACACAATTTTCAATCTTAACGAAGAATAAATGAACGGTAACTGTTGGGAATTATTTATGGACTGTTGTTATGTGCATATTAAATAACTAGGTAATACATATTTATACTTCTCTTAATATAAGCTTTCATTTGACATATTGGCTACTACTATAGGATTTACTATTCTTAACTTATTCCCGATTTATTAGTTAGTCTGTTATACTCACAGGCACTTTTGGCTTAATCTTGTATTCTTGTTATTTTCTATTTTATGGTACCATGCGGTCTCATTTGTTTGTATATAAACTGAGTATATCTGAAATACACGATTCATGTAGTGTAAGCTGAAATTGTGTTTTGGACTCAACGGACAAAACAAGGCAATAAGGACTCTGTTATGTCCCGATAAGCATAATGAATAGTAACTTTTGGGATCCATTTAAGGACCAATACTATGCGTATATTTTATCGTATAATTGTTGAATAACTAAACTGTTCATATTCATGCCCCTCTTATTATGAGCTTTACATTGACCTATGTACTATTATTATACGATCTACCATTCTTGAATCATGCCCTGTCTATTAATTACTAACTCCCTCATTCACAGCCACTTTGGGCTAATTCTTGTACAAATGTTGTTTCATATTTTATGGTACGATGTGGTCTGTCTGGTTGGTATATAAACCCAGTATGTTTGAAATAAATGAAGAGGCTGAGATTGGTGTTCTGGACTTAACTGGATGGGCTAGGCGGAAAGCAGGACCAGTCAGGACTCTAGACTGCTTGTACGGGTTTTACGCGTCCTTGGTCTGATCGATAATTCACTGCTCCCTATTTGGTGGTATCATTACGTATACATTAGCAGGGCACTCAGGCCACAAGTTATAACAGACTCAGAGTTGATTAACGCGTCATTGGTTTGGCATAGCGTCAAGGTCATATAAGTTGTGTTCTAATTGGCGGTTTAGTCACGTGATAAGAAACAGGGCAAAAATCATAACACACAAGCACAGAGCAATGTTCTATTAAAATACTCACTAAGAGGAATGAAATTAGCGAAAATAAGGTGAACTCATCTCATTTACCTATGAATTATTGAATATATAACATAAACATGTGTAGTTAGTAGTAAATATATTTCTTGTGTTTGTGTAGTTAAATTTTCAATAAAGATACCATGGAAATTCGAGAAAACATTTTACTTATTTATTTAAACACATGGACATGGGTACATGGAGGCATCAAATAGATATGCGCCACATAAATCATTCGATTTGTGTGAGGGCTGTGATACTGCCCGAGTGACAAAACCGAAACAGGTAGTTCTCTTAGGGGGCCACACCCGGAGACTTTGACCTAGAGGTCTGGTCCACAAGGCAGTGGAGCAACGTCAGTAGATGCATTCCCATGGTAGCCGGCGATCAACGATTGGTTTATACGCCACTTGTTACTCCAGGATCCTGAAACCCATGTGCACCATTGGTTTGGAATCAGGGTTTTCCAACTCCCCTAGGTGGATCCTCCATATCTATCTAACAGCTATATTTATTCCTTTTTTACCACACTGCTACATTTATCATCTTAAAATGTGTACGTGAAAATCATAGCTTATTCCCAACCACATTCAAAAGTGATTGTCGATTCAAATACATTGAAAGGATAGAAAAAACTTATTTGATTTCTTATAAGTGTTTTGATAATGGTATCAAGTTCTCAATCGGTTCACAAACTCAATTGTACATCAGCTGTTATCGATTCAAGATATATAAAGGTTTATCTACGATGATTAGTAGAAATTCACTATCATATGATATGTAAACTTGGACTTTGAATGAAAAAATCCGTGATAATTAACTTAGAACTACTATGGTAAACAAAACGTTATTTTTAGGTGATTGCAGGTAGTTGGTAGTGATCCGAAGAACTTAGCGATAACATCTCAGATTGCGAAGCTGAGCAATGTGAGTTGGAGTCCCACTGGGAGCACCGTCTTTTTCAAGATTACAGGCACGCCTTGCTGGCGAATGTCAACTAGAGCAAAAACTAGGTCCATAGTTCCCTGATGACTGCCTCCAACCATTTAACAACTCAACTCACAGCACACAAAGTCGAGTCGCTCAGACTAGTGACTTAGTCGATGGGATTCAATCAGAATTAAGGACTAAAAAACCCGACAATTCATACTTCCAGATCCATTGGTAAATTTAAATAAAGAGAGAACGACAAGATTTACTACATAAACTGAAAACACTATGCTTTATTCTGTGAATTATGTCTTTCTCGCTTTATTCAAATATGAAAATGGACATTATTCAGTGACCAATCAATTGTGGAAAAAACACTTTGTTATTTTATTGATAAAATAGTGAATATCACTACGTCTTTTCAAGATGAGCGAAAGTTCAAAAACTCATACATCCGCTAGGCTTAATAAACAACTATGCTTTGTTATTAACTCAATTACATACTTGATATGTTACATCACAAAATACTGAATAAAAACCAAAAGGGAATATAACAATTATTTCATTCTAGTTTAGGGATTTTTACGGCGGTAAACCACAAACTTTAGGCCTCGTAATGAATACGACATCCTTTAAATCACCGAGTCAAAATCCACTGGTGCATACCTTTAACATCAGCCAGCTCGTAATATAATTTGAACACTTAGACAACAAGTAATATGTACACATTAATTATGTAGTCAGTTATGAGCAAAACATTTGTTTTGTGGAGACCTGTGATACAATAACGATATACACATTTTACGTCAGTCACAATACCATCCAGTAGAGGAAACTGACACACTAACACTAAGTGTCATACCTAAAAAAAAATTGCAGTTTTTTCTATGGTATCCAGGCTAATTTATAAGTAGGTGAACCAATCACAAAACTAAATGTCATATTGATCATTATAGTGTGACAAACACATCATGATATTTATTGGCAGAAAAAGTCACATGACTTCCCGTTTAGGAATACAAGTTCTAAAGATAATATCAAACCAGTACTAGTACAATCAAAATTAACACGAACGTTCATTTATAGAGAATTTCCAGAGCATAAAATTATAAACAGTAGACAAACTTGTTGTTAGGTGCCTTAGTCCAAACACTGGAATTAGCGAACGTTACATGTGTATATAATTAATTTACTTTAAGAACACAAAGATTGGCCGAATTACAAATTGAATATTTTCAACCAATTTAAACAACACTCAACAAAACCACTTGAATATCCACACTAATAACTAACTTCGAGATAACTTCACTGAATTATGTAGTGGGAAGCCATGATCGGTGCGGTCAACCAAACAGAGAATGAAGATCATAATAAAACAAATTGAATGTTGGTAATGTGAACTGTTAGATCTCAATTTAATGACTCAGCCACATAGCTTTTACATAACACATAAACATTGGTACAAAGGGGCACTGAAATATACATGCGTCACACAAGTAGTTACCATCAGATATATGTGCAGGCTGGGATACCGTCCAGGTCCCCAAACTGAAGCAAGTGGTTTCTCAAAAAGGGGGTCATCCTCCGAGACTTTGATCTAGAGGCCTAGTCCACGAGACAGTGAAACAATGTGAGGGGATGTGGTTCCATGACAGCTGGTGACCAAGAATAGGTTTATAGGTCATCGGTTCCCACTTACCAGAAGGAGACTCTCAGCACCCCTGATCTTAAAGTTCAGTCTTTCTCACTATCACCGCTACTACGAATACTACTATCCAACTTAATTTTATCTCGAGCTGATAAGGTTGGTGTAATGAATTGATATACATTTATCCTAGGCTCTACGTCTCTTGTGACTAGCTAACAGAGAAGCCCCTAGGATCGATTCGACATGGAATTAAGAGGCTCACGCCGCTGAGAAGTTTTAAACTGCTATCTACCCTGACTTATAACAATTTTCTATAGCCTGTTGTTCTCAAATTATAAAATATTTCCAGAAAATCAATTAAGTAAATACTTCCAAACTATAACCGGGTCTCTGAAATCAACTGTCTTTTAAAAACGTTTGTAGCACTAGGATTTTCTAAAAATGAAAATCGCTTGCTTAATTCATCCATCTGGTTACATTACTTTGAACTTGTATGATATGATCTAATGGGATAGTTAAGGATTTTTCAGTTATCTCAATATATCAAACATACTGTACGACTGAATGTGAAACAGTCAAATTAACAGAGAATACCAATTTGAGAAGGTTATGGACTATTGATAACTGTGAGATTCTAGAGGATAGGTGGGGTGGGGTTGACCATTATATCACAGTCAAGAAATCTGTTTAATAATTTTCTGTTAATGTAGATTATCTCAATACATATCAGATTCTATATCACATAAATCAGTATGCATAAACTATTGTAGCAGAATATACACGAAATGTAAACATAATGTAAGACAAAAAAACAATAATGCACCGAATTTAAAGTGATATTGTGATAACTGATAGTATTCTATGTACTCTGTGTATTATGTATGTGGATAATGTTCAAATGTAAATACACGTAAATTTACGAATAATCAATATGTATGACAATTTAAGAAATAACGAGAACAATAACAATTTTAAAAATATTTCAGTCAAACGTTTACGATAAATATGCATGGTCACTATGGTTATTCACTATTCATTGTCAGATAATTTAAAGGCGAACTATATATATAAAAAAAAACATATTTAAAATAGAAAACAACTGGCCAAATCTTGTGGGGAAGATATACTACTATAATGAGAGAAGAAAATACATGCAATAAATTGCCTTAATTATTTTTAGTTCTTCTAAATTGCAGACTACTTGATTGGGGTCCGCGTGACTATCGTAACTAATGGTTGGAGACTCTTGGTGACATGGCTCAGAATCGATAACAATGGCGTCGGTGTATACACTCGCTTCATATCTTTCTTTCTACGAACTAATTCCTTCTTCCTGTACTATATCCTTATTGTAGTCTTTCTTTTATATATTACCACCTCTGAATTAACTACTTTTATGAATCCGGTGTCCAACTTGTTGTGTTAATGAGGTATGGCAACTTGGACCGATGCATATATGTGCCTGGTCCTACGTTGTAGCTGACTGACTGACTGACTGACTTGGAGATCTGGAGTTTTTGGTGTTATTTAGATAACTATACATTTGGAAAATACACTTATATAAATTGTTTAAAATAGTAATTTTAACGGTAGTTTTAACAGAAACTTTGACCAACCAAACATTATGCCAGCCCTTTCTTCAATCAGCCATGCTTAATTTAGAACCTGATACGTGTGGATCGGTTCAGGTTGACACACCATCAGCTCAAAGAGATACTAGAGTAGTAAAAACAGTATCTAGAATAGTAGTAAAGATCAGGCACAAACAATAGGATTCGAGGAAATATGAATTTGTAGGAAAGATCACGAGACAATTTTTAAACTCAATATCTAAGGAAAGACGAAGAATGGATGTACCTAGGCCACTGCGAACGATTTTGAGCCGTGACATCTAACGTCTCCGATGATTGGCTACGATAATCTCGAGGACCTCAACCTGATAGTCTGTGTCAGCATGTACAACTCAAATCCAACAGTTAATTACTATGAACAAGGCCAAAACAACAATTGAGGCAATTATTTCATTGACTGATGTCAAGTCTTAGTTCTGTTTCCATTAGCTTTCTTCCAAACGACTCCTGTACCAGTAAACATACCACATATATGTAGAAAGTGGTTGAGTGTACATCTCAGCTGTTGAATATTTATTGCCTCATCAATCGATTTGACATCTTTACGTAATGTCCTGTATCTAATCTCAGTACTGATGACACAGTGTTCTCAGTATACACCAGAAATTTCTTGTAGGAATGTATGATCATATACTAGTAATCTACGAATAACTTAATTTTAAAGGTCATGTTACACAGCCATAAAGTGGAAAGAATAAAGCTGCATCGCAGTATACACACTCTTTTGTCTGCCAAAGATATGCCGTGTTACACCATAAGCGACCCAAGATAAAAAAAGCCAACTGAGTTTTCTGAACCCGTGACGAAACTCCAACCCACTCCCTCAAAGACAAATATTATAGGCAGTAATCTGGCTGAAACTGAGTGTTTGATCGCTCTGAAATAGTAGCTGTTTTCAAACATAAACAGAGTGGTCCGAGAAGTGTTTGTAAAAATAAAACAGAATAATAACTACAGATGATGTCTAGAATAATTTAGTCGCAACTATTAGACTGTGTTTCCTTACGTCAGAGTTACATTCGATTGGCCAGACATGGTTAACAGTTTTGTCTTCTAATAACTATTCAGTTGGAACATGGGGAGCAAGTTATACGGCATCTTACCGATCAACTGAGCTATCATAACGCGCAGCTTTAACTGTAAGTATGTACTAAGATAACAGCTGAAAACGAAATGTTGATGAAAATTTAAAATTTTTTACGACACTAATATCTGAGAATAAGATGTAAACGAATAATAAAGTGATAAAAATAGTATTGCGATTATTATTATTACTAATGAGTGCATTTAGAAATAATTTTTCCTGGAATAAAAAGTTTCCAAAAACTTACTTTACTGAGCTGTTGTGAACTTTCGCTGGAATTCAAATGAGAATTTGACTGATCCAAATCTGAACATACTGGATCACAACCAGGATCACTAATAATACTTTGTTGTGCTTTGAACACATTACCAAACGATGGGCCATCAAAACTTATGCCAGAATCATACGAATTATTATGAAGTGAAATTGGACCAAATATTAATTCATCAGTACGTGCATCATCATTATTACCATTATTATTATTATCAGTAGTAGTAGTATTATTACTATACTTTGTATTGTGTTTTCCATTATTAGCAACGACATTTGAATTATGATTGATTTGATCAGTCTTTTGTAATATATCATTTCTACATAAAACAGGAGATCTCGAAGGTAGAAATGGTAATTTAGGCGAAGGTACACTATGAGACTCTACAAAGTCAATTGGATTTACAAAATCACTACTAGTGTCATTGTTGTGATTATTGGCATTGTTTTGTAAATCATAAGATGAATCAATATTTTCTGAAACCAAACGACGAATACCATATCGATCACGACGAGAAGCTGGAATAGCTACTGTTCCACTGAGTTCCACCTGATTGTAGATAGTTAGGCAAATAGTTAATATATAATTATGTGATGTATTTATAATAACAATAATAATAATATTTTTGTTATGAATCTCATCCATCTATATTATCACGAAAAGCAACAACCCCTTTGTGTTTCCTCTTTAAACTGAGTTAATAAGATAAAATCTGACAGACAAGTGACCATAAAATGAGATAATAAAAAAATGTAGATATAATTTCAAAAGTAAAAAATTACAAAAATTTGAGACGATCTAGGTCAGTGTACGTTATCCAAAAAACCTATACTATTTTCCTTAATTACTACAGTTTAGTCTCGTTTAATTTATCATACATCTTCATAAATTCAATAATATTTAAAAAAAGAAATTGATATGGACATTCAAAAGATTACGTAATGTACAGTAAACTATTTCTAAGATATTATACTTTAACGCGTTCGAAACCATACGCTATCAACTTCTTGTTTCAATTGTCAAATTGTCTTAATCTCACACTTTTACTATTTTCAACTGTTGTCAATTACTTTCATTATTAGATGCAATTGCATCTTATGTGCTTACTGAGTCAACGGTCCACTTTTTATCTTGTATTTTTTCATATACTGCTTCCTCACACTGCTTTAGTACACAAGTTACTTTCAGGAGAGAGTAAACCTACCAAATCCTGAAAGTTACACACAATCTGAATATCATGTGAACTGATCAATTTTAGTATTACAACTTCGGTAGATTTGTTTGAGACTTTTAACCTCAACACACATTGAACTATACTATTTAGAATATCGAATATGTCAGCATTAAAATTTTTGTTAGAAAATACAAGTAGAATTAACTCAAGGCATAGAAAATAAGCGGAAATTATCACGTTTTATTCCAGTAAAATAAGTGAAAGCTCAACAGATGGGAAATTTAAAAAGGGTGAGAAATGATGTTACAGAAGATAGATGGTAAAAACACAAATGAAAGTACAAGAAAAGTAAAGAAAAAGACATTACAAAAGAATGAAATACCAAGAATGATAAAACACATATAGTTAGGAAAATTAGAATTGAATGCATTCAAGACTATATTGAACAGCCGATTTAGAGATTTTATTGATAGAAGTTAAAATTTGATACAACTGATTAATTATTAAGTACAAAACCATATACCTGAATTCGCGTCATCTTTGTCGTGTGGTGCGGTGTACTAGGTAAGCGTGGCCAATAAATTGATGAGTTAGTCAATATTTAACGATTAAGATTGTGAGAATACGTATTACGCATGTCTATCCACAGATTACCACGCACACACGATGATGACTGGTGTAGGAGTAAGTTGGAAGAAAGGTAGAACGGGCTAAACCAAGACATAGTATCAGTTCATGAAGATAAACTAATAGAGTGAGTCACGTAGGTAGGGGAAGACCATCTGGTTGATGTAACTAATTGTTAGAAGTTGGGTGACATGGCTCAAAATCCTTCGCAATGGCTCAGTTGCATTTACTTTTCGCCTTTCCTTAAATCTCGATCTTCTAAATTCTTCATAATCTGTTTATTTCATCAATTTATATTTCCTTCTAGAGTCGTATCTTCGATCCCTAATCTGGCATAAATGATTTGGTCCAAGTCAAACTATATTAGCACGACTAAATGAAAATGATAAAAGAGATCGAAATAAGGTGGTCGTGATAAAAAGAAAGACTAAGAACTGTAAAGATTGTTTGAAAAGAAAGAGTGGAAAGATATGCATGAACAGATACTGGAATTTAAGATCGAAAGATGAAGAGTGAATACATCTATTTATTATTTATTTATTTGAACACATAAATATTGGTACAAGATGGCACCAAATATATATGCGCCACACAAAACAATGAGAATGGGGAGAGAAAAAGGTAAGGAGCGTAAAAGAAAAAAAGAAGAGGAACAATAGCGACCAGAGATTAGTGTAAGGTGGTGTGATAATAATAATAATAATAACAATAATAATAATGGGGGAAACGAAAAGGTACAGCCAGAAGAAATCTTTAAGTTAAGGAAGATACAACCACTTTTTATGAAGAAGGTAAAAGAAGGTTACAGCAGGATCGCCACTGGCTTCTATTCTGAGCCATATCTGATAACGTCTCTAGCCACTGTGTAGCACTATCTCTCAGACCCCAACCAGGGAGTCGTGAAGGACCAACATAAGCCAGTCCTTTGCAGCTTTCTTTCATACCACGACACCATGTCATGCACTGACCACCTCTCCGCTTCTTCCAACCAGTCTCAGGGTCGGGAAATAATGCATACGTGGAATTCTCTGGGACGGTATTCGTAGAACATGTCCAAGCCACCGAAGTCGATGTTTCAAGATGTTGACACCAATCGGATTATCGTCCCTGTGCCCGAACACACGATGCCGAACCCCTGCATTACTGAAATGGTGTTGCCACTGGATGTCAGCAACCCTTCGGAGACAACGACGATCAAACACAGAGAGCCGTCTAACATCCTCAACTCGGAGAGGCCAGGTTTCACAAGCATAGAGCAGAACTGTTCTCACCGACGCTGACAATCTGAAACGACCTCATGGGCAAGTGCATATGGATTGTTAAGGGGTAGAGATAAATAAATATATATCTCAGTCAGTGCATATTATTCGGTAGCCCAATATACTCTAGCATCCACTCTTGTGTTTTTGCTCAAGTAGTTAGTTGGTGGGAGGCTAGCGTATAACACGTCGTGTATCAGTATTAGATTTCAGACAGCGCCCATCATAACACTTTCTTCCTGTAGTCCTGAGTAACAGAACATGCCAAAGGAGTTTCTATTATCCATATTTCAAGCACCTAGTATTTTTATTTCAGATACTTATTGGTTTATGCACATGAATTATCACACTGCAATGCACTCCAAATAAAAAATAACCCTCTACACACAATCACACAATAGATGGTAGGGAACGGAGCAAAAGATTCATAGTTAATTAATGATAATTAAAAGATAATAAGTATAACAGCAGTCGATAGGTCTAACGGAAGCTCACTATACCAAGGACAAAAATACAATAGTCCGATTATCTAATAATTACTTGATAAAAAATATAAGTAATAATATAAATAAAAATAATATATTTGTAATATCCCAATGAGTAGAAAATTGGATTTTCTGACGTTTCGTGGCTTAGTGTAAGTCACTTCTTCAGAGAATAAATAACCAAATTAAAATTAATCCAAGTTTAAATAGTACAACGGAACAATGCAAGAATAATATTTGATCAATCAAAAAACAGGTCTGAACAAGTTGATGTCATGTCATTTCTGTCAAGGTGATACATAAGTGATAAGTATGTAAATTTGTGTGTGTATGTATATGTGCATTGTTTAAGAATGAAAACTTATGTGACCTTTATGGTAAGAAAGGATAGAGTTTAAATTTGTAATATGAAAGTGTGAAATTGTAAATACGATCAGACTGAATGGTTAGGATAGATGGTCCAAGTAGGGTGTATGGTAAGGCCTTCTTTTCTATTGAGAGAAGTAGGATTAAGCATTATGTGGAACGCCTCAGCTACCCTCCTTTCTTTGTAGTTGGAAAAGCCTTTTTGCAATATTTTGATATTTTTAATATCGATTTGGTGGTTGTTGAAAATGGCATGAACTGCTATTGCCGATTTAATTTGAAGTTGGTTCAATTCTACCGGATTGTTAGGAGGTTTCTTTGTGTACCTAATATGTTCTTTGGCTCTAGTCACGATTTCGCGGGATGACTCTCCAATATAATAGGCATCACAATCGATACAACCTAATTTGTAGACGCAGTTCTGTGTGGACATGAAAGGGATTTTTTCTTTCAGGCGAACTAAAGTATTACGTAGTGTGTTCGTTGTTTTGTAATACACTTTAATTCTGTGGTGTTTTAAGATTCTTTGAATTTCTTCTGTTGTGCCATGACGGTATGGTAGAACTACAGTACCAATCCATGTCATTTCATTCGAAACATTATTATAATGTAATAAATTGTTTTGTTTTAATATGCTTCTAATAATCTTCATAGGAAAATTATTAAATTGTAAGGTACTAATTATATTCATTTGTTCTTTTCGTTTGTCTTCCTCTGATGTGATGATCTTGTTAGCTCTTCTAAAAAGATTTAAGGCTAGCGAGATCTTAGCACTGAAAGGATGTGCTGAATGGAAGTCAATATAACGATTTGAATGCGTCGGCTTTCGGTAAATGGATAAGTTTAGACTTCCATTTGGATTTCTTTTTACTAAGCAATCCAAGAATGGTAGCTCACCATGAGCATTTTCATTTTCATTGGTGAATTTGATTTGCGATGAGAGTGTATTAATTCGTTTTGAAAAAGATCTTAGATGAGTCTTTTTTATAACCACAAATGTATCGTCTACATATCTAAGCCAAATTCGTGGTATAATGTTGTGGGCGAAGATATTTGATTCTATGTATGCCATAAAAAGGTTGGCTACAATCGGGGACACGGGGGATCCCATTGCTACTCCGTTAGTTTGTTTGAATAAAATACCGTTAAAAGTAAATAGCGTTGAATTTAAGCAAAGTTTTAATGATTTCATGATTAGACTGATGCTCAACGGACATCTGTCAGGAAGAGTATTGTCGTTCTCAAGTAAACCCTTAATGAATTCTAAGCATTTATCAATGACATCAACTTGTTCAGACCTGTTTTTTGATTGATCAAATATTATTCTTGCATTGTTCCGTTGTACTATTTAAACTTGGATTAATTTTAATTTGGTTATTTATTCTCTGAAGAAGTGACTTACACTAAGCCACGAAACGTCAGAAAATCCAATTTTCTACTCATTGGGATATTACAAATATATTATTTTTATTTATAACAATCAACCCAATGCTCAATTTATTCGAAATTATCAAATCAAACCTTGGTAATGACACCTACAAACTCATTAATAACCGAATCAAATTATCCAAGTGTAAATGCAATTGGTACAATCACAGAATATTTAATAAACGATGTCTACAAGACAACATCATCCCTAAATCTCTTGTTATAAAACCTCCAGAACGATCCTGGAGATCTATCCAGACTTCTCAACACGCGTCTCGAATATTCTTACGAGAACGCATTCACAAATGCACACACTTACTAGAAAAATATCGTGAACGAATCAAAAACCTTGATGATTTACTGAAGCTTTTAATCCCGATCGAATTACAAACCACGATATGCAACCTGTTTATAGAAAGAGAACTCCACTATTTAAATTCCTCGAAACACCGACAAATTAAAAAATTCGAAAACATCAAAGAAAAGAAGAAAGATAAGAAAACATCAACAGTAAAATACAATTTGAATAATCTAAGAACAGTTCATAATCTCTCCAACAGAAACTTAAACAGTCACGAAATCACTCTACTGGAGAAGGGATTAAACTTCAATTTACACAGAAAACCACTTAGCACTCTTGAAATCGCTCCGATTATAGAACCTATGATCGCACAACTACCGGAAAAAGAGTCGCATTTACTACGTCAAAAGACATCCCATATTCTGACGAAACAAAAACACATTACCCCAAACATTTCAAAAGAAGAATTGAAGGCTCTGAATCCACTTAAAAAAGACAAAACAATTATCATCACTAAAGCCGACAAAGGCAACACAACAGTAATCATGAATAAAACAGATTATATTAATAAAGCTCTTGAACATCTCTCAACAGGACCTTATGAAAAGATCAATCCAAAAACTTCTCTAACGATTAAGAATAAAGTCAAATTAGAAACAAATCAACTTCTGAACGAGCTAAAACCAATCATTGGGGTTCCGCTTTGGTTTGCTTTGCATCCCAAATCATGTAATGTCTCACGGTTTTATGGCTTACCAAAAATTCATAAACCAGATATTCCTTTAAGACCAATAGTAGACTTCACAAACACACCAACATATGCACTATCGAAATATTTAAGCAATATATTAAAACCATTACAACTCAACCTACATAATATAATTAAAGACACATATGACTTTAAATCAAAATTATCCGGATTAATCATCAAGAAGAATGAAATCATGGTAAGCTTTGATGTCGTTTCTTTATACACAAGTGTTCCCATTGATAAATGCTTAGAATTCATTAAGGGTTTACTTGAGAACGACAATACTCTTCCTGACAGATGTCCGTTGAGCATCAGTCTAATCATGAAATCATTAAAACTTTGCTTAAATTCAACGCTATTTACTTTTAACGGTATTTTATTCAAACAAACTAACGGAGTAGCAATGGGATCCCCCGTGTCCCCGATTGTAGCCAACCTTTTTATGGCATACATAGAATCAAATATCTTCGCCCACAACATTATACCACGAATTTGGCTTAGATATGTAGACGATACATTTGTGGTTATAAAAAAGATTCATCTAAGATCTTTTTCAAAACGAATTAATACACTCTCATCGCAAATCAAATTCACCAATGAAAATGAAAATGCTCATGGTGAGCTACCATTCTTGGATTGCTTAGTAAAAAGAAATCCAAATGGAAGTCTAAACTTATCCATTTACCGAAAGCCGACGCATTCAAATCGTTATATTGACTTCCATTCAGCACATCCTTTCAGTGCTAAGATCTCGCTAGCCTTAAATCTTTTTAGAAGAGCTAACAAGATCATCACATCAGAGGAAGACAAACGAAAAGAACAAATGAATATAATTAGTACCTTACAATTTAATAATTTTCCTATGAAGATTATTAGAAGCATATTAAAACAAAACAATTTATTACATTATAATAATGTTTCGAATGAAATGACATGGATTGGTACTGTAGTTCTACCATACCGTCATGGCACAACAGAAGAAATTCAAAGAATCTTAAAACACCACAGAATTAAAGTGTATTACAAAACAACGAACACACTACGTAATACTTTAGTTCGCCTGAAAGAAAAAATCCCTTTCATGTCCACACAGAACTGCGTCTACAAATTAGGTTGTATCGATTGTGATGCCTATTATATTGGAGAGTCATCCCGCGAAATCGTGACTAGAGCCAAAGAACATATTAGGTACACAAAGAAACCTCCTAACAATCCGGTAGAATTGAACCAACTTCAAATTAAATCGGCAATAGCAGTTCATGCCATTTTCAACAACCACCAAATCGATATTAAAAATATCAAAATATTGCAAAAAGGCTTTTCCAACTACAAAGAAAGGAGGGTAGCTGAGGCGTTCCACATAATGCTTAATCCTACTTCTCTCAATAGAAAAGAAGGCCTTACCATACACCCTACTTGGACCATCTATCCTAACCATTCAGTCTGATCGTATTTACAATTTCACACTTTCATATTACAAATTTAAACTCTATCCTTTCTTACCATAAAGGTCACATAAGTTTTCATTCTTAAACAATGCACATATACATACACACACAAATTTACATACTTATCACTTATGTATCACCTTGACAGAAATGACATGACATCAACTTGTTCAGACCTGTTTTTTGATTGATCAAATATTATTCTTGCATTGTTCCGTTGTACTATTTAAACTTGGATTAATTTTAATTTGGTTATTTATTCTCTGAAGAAGTGACTTACACTAAGCCACGAAACGTCAGAAAATCCAATTTTCTACTCATTGGGATATTACAAATATATTATTTTTATTTATAACAATCAACCCAATGCTCAATTTATTCGAAATTATCAAATCAAACCTTGGTAATGACACCTATAAGTAATAATAGTCCGTGAGGTAGTTTCGAAAGTCCAAACAATTCTAGTATTCGCATATTCACAACAGTAATCATGAAGAAAATGATGATTCACCATGAGAATTTTAGTACCATTGTCCAATTCCATAAATGGTACGTACTACTGAGAGATCCTGAAACGGATAAAACAACTGTTCAGTATTTTCTGATTGCCAAACCAATAGTTCTTCAATTGATACATCCATTCAATCAGTCATTCATAATCAACATAGAGTCTGGGACATATGTCCATTAGCCCAAGTTGCTATATCAAATCGGCATGAGATAAAATTAGTATAATGAATGTTGAAGCAATGGAAATGATTTTGGTAGCAATGATAAGAAGTATTAAACATTAAAGAAGATTATTCGAAAACATGGAACGAAAGGATATCTATGAAGAAACAACTAGAACTCAAGATCTACAGCAAGATATCCATTTGGAATGAGAATTAGTGAGTTATTCTTCAACTTACATTATTATTATCACTGATCCCATTTGTATTTTCAGTCTGATTATCCGCTGCTTCCATAGATAATTGACTAAATGGTGTAGATAGTTTTTCATTTATTGGTAAATCAAAAGCGCTTAATGATAGAGCTAAACATAATGGATTGCATCGATGTGTATAAAAAAATAAAGCCATTCCACGAATCCCCAGATTTCCATCTCCATAAGATTTACCATCAAATGTATGAATTTGAGGGTCTGTCCATAGATTACCAACACCTTGTATATCAACTACAATTAAACGATGACCACTTCGTTCAAAGGTGAAGTGACTAAAAGCCTAAAGAATACATGCAAAATATGTGGACATGGAAGAAAAAAATTTATTTGCACAAACATTTTGTGATTATTAAAATACAATCTGGTGATCATATACAGAATTGTATACAGAAATGATTATTAGATTAATTGGTTAAATTTTAACATGATACTAAACAGTAGATTTATTCATTCCAGTCACTTGTACGAGTTCAGAATTTCCACTTAATAAGTGATTACCTCTAGTACCTAAATTATCAATCTACAACTCCAATGAAAAAACGTCATAAAATAAGATCTTAACGTCGTTTTAGTTTCATGCAGTTTATCCATATTCTTCCAGTGATCTAATAGATCTTCATCGAAATTTATGGTCCATCTGAACAACTTTCACAGCTGTTTTGAAAACCACATGCATCATCTAGAGATTACATCCCTCAATAACTGTTATATCTCAGAGATCTGTATTGAGCATTCAAGTAAAGTACTGTTAACTAGTTTTCCATCAGTTGGTTCGGAAACCACGTTGTATGCAATATTCAATCAGAGTAAGAGATAAATGTTTGGCATGCAACGTGTTTGTGTTATCTTCGCTCTCCCTTCATCAGATTAGAGCGCAGATAAAATTTTTACCAACTGATTTCCAACAAAGTGTGCTCAACAGGTGTTACGGTACTTGCTGGCAACTTAGATGTGTGAGTTGAATGTCTAAGCACAGAGGATAGTGTTTTTGGTGATCGGAGACTAAATAACGGAGCTTGCACTTTGCAGCGTTGTTGAGATCATGAACTACTATCAGTGAAAAGTATCAACTTCCGACATGGCCGTGATTAAAAACAATTAACGTTCTTCTTTTGAAACCATTCCGTGGGACAACACACTTAAAGCATACTTCAAATCCTATGAAAAAAATATTTGCTTTTCTCTAGAGTTATTCTCCGAAAAGAAGTGCTTATTTTGTTTTAATTGATGTTATGAAACTTCCTTAAAGAGTAATACAGTATAACGTATATTTTGATGTTGGAATTGAGATTGTACACTAATTATAATGCTTGTGACTTAAGGTAATATCGAGGTAATCCGCACGGGGTGTACATATGCCAAGAGATTGATCAATTGCAGTCCTAAACATCAATGGGAAGATTCAAGCAAACAATACCAAGTGAACTACAACAGTTTTAACTGTATTAATCTTTTCCCTTTTCTCTTGTAAATAAGTCAACAAACATAGATGCACACACACCGGAGACAGTATCGAAATGTTCAGTCTTTCAATTAGAAAAAAAAACAATCGAAAAACCAAGAAAATGAACGAGTAATTCACCTGAGGAGTGTTTCGTGATAAATCATCTACAAATCCTGAATTTGAATTATACTTTCGATAAGTTCCTTCTATAAAATGTTCCAAGTGATATAGAGGTTTCTCTGGTCGATTAATAAACTCCAATACACACATTTGTGAAATATCAACCTAATCAATGTAATGAAGCAAATACACTAAAATACAGAAAAAGATTCAAACAAACGAAATGTAGTAGTAAATACACTATTTGTGATATCCCAATGAGTAGAAAACTGTATCTCTGAAGTTTCGTCACTTAATGTAAACCACTTCTTCCGAGTTAATAAATAATCGAGATGAAATTAACGATAAAGAACATTTTTAGTGCAGTCAGAATCATAATAGGTTTTAATATGTCAATATCAAGTTATTTTTGGTCAAGGTGAATTTGTGTGAACTGTCATTATGTTAATTTGTGCGTCAGAAGGTGTGCAATTGTAATATAATTTGACATTGACATATTCAGACCTATTATGATTCTGATCGTACGAAAAATATTCTTCTTTGTTTCCTTTGTACTATTTAAACTTGTGTCAATTTTATTTCGGTTATTTATTTGCGCTGAAGAAGTGGCTTACATTAGGTTACGAAACCCCAGAAATACAGTTTTCTACTCATTGGGATACCACAAACAGTATATTAATTATTAACTTTTTACCCAATGTTCAATTTATTTGAAACTATCAAGTACAACCTTGGCACTGATACTTACAAAAAGAATTGTAACTTACAAAAGTTTGTATTCAGCTTTGAACTACACTGTTTTATGTGAAAGTTAGTAATACTAACCCCAGCTTCCCAAACTAGGGTTAGAACAGGTATTTAACCTATTTACTATTTGAAAGCCGAAAGCACTAACATTTGGGCGTTATACCAACAACAAAAAACAATCAAGGCCTGTTTTCAACTTGGAGATAACGAGCCTGTTTTATATAAACGGAGTCTAGCAAATCTGCGGCTATGAAAAGAACAAGCTGAATGGCATAAAAACATGGTGGTTTACTCTCTTTTTTTCTGTTGTAATTATACAATTAAGATAAGGGAAGACAAACAGCTACTTTCTTTTGAACATAAATCAAGTTTTAACTTTAGCAGATGATTTGAGATGATTGGTGCACGGTTATTTATTAATAACCTTAAAGGACTTCACAGTAATTCCCTACGTTAATCAAACTGCCTGGAATTGCAATGCTGAACATCTGTATACATTTTAACTCTGGGTTTTGGGGCTTCTGTCAGTCTTTGATTACTGATCTATACAAAACGATCAGTTTAGTTAGTTAGTGTAGTATTCAGTGTTCCATTAATTGTTCCTGCAGATTCATCTCGTTCACAGTTTGGGTGAATAGAGACGAGTTTTTTTATGACTGTCCTATTACACGGTTCTCATATACTCATCAAAGTTTTCGCAAATACCCATTTTCTCCAAGGTATAATTCAACGCCTAAGGATTCTATTCACCAACTTCCTCTAGCTACGTCATTTAGCTGCCTATAGGATTCTTCATTTTGGAGACCCCTTGCAGACAAGAGTACAGTATGGGAGAGAAACTACATTGCCCTAGTCAGCTTTATACGGATGATTAAAGAGTACTACAATGATAGTACTTTACGAAGGTTAGACCTCGAACTCTGAGCAAACTGGTACCAGAACATAGATACCCACTGATAAGTCGTGTAGGTTGAACGCTATATACGAATCCTAAGCTATTCCAGTAACCCGCAGACTAGAACTACACAGCGACTTGAACTGCAGAAAGAAGACACAAGTATGAGAGAATACACTTTATCCCAAGGTTCATTTTAGTACAGAAAATCAAGGGTATTTATAGATGTTGGCGTCTGTTAAATCAACATCTTATTTCAGCCAATCCGTTAACGTCATATTGTGCTACCGACCAATGGTAGCACGCCACGCTGGAATTCTCGAAAGTTCCATCATACTCTGATTGGTTAGGCCCTTCGGCTCCTTTTTGGGCCTCTGGAGGCTCCGTTGAAGTTCTCCGAAAGCCGACCCAACACCTCCCCCGAATAAGATTTCTTTCTGGAATCTACTTGTAGTTTGATAACTGGGTTGCGACGGCGTCCTATTATTCTTGTCGTTTTCCTTGTCCAAGGCTTCTTTTCAGTGTTCCTGGGCATTTGTGCGTCTAAGATTAAATCTAACGGGAAAATCGGCCGGTTACTTCGAGTCTGCACCGTTCTTTTGTCCTTAAGGATTTGATTTGTGTGACGTATACATGTCCCCAAAGCTCCTCGAACTCTGTACAGTACTTTTCCCAGTTTTTGCACAACTTCGCCCGGCTCCCATCGGTTCTTCCCGATGTAGGACTTAATGTAAACTTTGTCGCCAACAGTGAGGTTTCGGATACTTGGACCGTGACTGCGCTCATCCACTAATTTGGATGGCAACATGGCATCGAAGACGGTTCGAATACGCCTTCCAAACATGGCTTCCGCGGGAGATTTGCCGTCTTGAACATTTGGGTTCGGGGTGGATCTGTATGATGTTAAAAATTTTGTGATCACCTGCCCAGTTGTCCCTTCTCCTCCCCCTTTCAGTAATGCTCGTTTAAAAGTGTCCACAAAGCGCTCTGCTTGTCCGTTTGATTGTGGATGATAGGGTGGAGAACGAAGATGAGTTATTCCGTTTGTTCTACAGAAATGTTTAAACGATTCTGCGGCAAATTGCGAGTCGTTATCTGTCACTAAGGTCTCTGGTACTCCAAAACAGCTAAATAGGGTAGACAACTTGTGGATCGTTTCTGACGTTGTACAATTTGGCATGATATATACTTCCGGCCATTTAGTGAATGCATCTACGATAATTAGAAACATTTTTCCTTGGATTGGACCGGCAAAATCTGCGTGAAGTCTTACCCAGGGTCCTGCAGGCGTAGGCCAATGCTGAGGTTCGCATCTCAAAGGATTTTTAGCGGCTTGAATGCATGATGAACAGTTACGGCATTTATTCTCGATATCTTTTGGCATAATAGTGACACGCTTAGCATGGATAGCACACAAGTTTGTATCTTCAAACAGTCCAACCAAGTACGCTTCACTGGCCTCCTGAAGAGCAGACACGGCTGAGCTCTGGAATTGTAGATCGGTTTTGAAGTCTTGGGCGATTTCTCGGACCAAACGCTGAAATGGGAGTTTGCGAATCAGAAGCTCGGTACTCTTCTGGTAACGACGGATTTCTCGGAGTGCGACGGTTCCAGGTCTGCACCTATGTGGCTTCTTCACGCCTCCGGCAGCTGGGGCACTTTTACGCGCAGCCTTGGTGGCTAGCTGCTTTCTGGGCGCCTTACCTCAAGTTGATTTGCGAGCAGTTTGTTTAGTTCGTGCCATTCCGAAACACCGAGAGACGATGACATGTACTACTCAGATTGACGCCCGAGGTTTTTCACTAGTCATAGAGACCCACCTTTTCCGTGATCTCAATCCACACTTGAGTTGAGCACAGCTTATCCTCATACATAAACAGCACAGCATGTATAATAGCGATGACTTCTAGCATCCTTCGTACATAAATTTAATAGAGGTAAGCCAAGAGTCACATAGCTACTCTCAGCAACTTATATTTATTGAAATCATGGACCGATCTAAGTTATACAACCACTGAAAACCTAGAAGCACTGGACGACCGTTTCGTTCAAGTTTGGGACTCCTTGTCAGTGCTCATTAACGACCCCACGACCGAGAATCAAACTCAGGACCTTCGGTCTTGTGAACCATTTGATCACGACTCAGTAGTCTGGAAGTTAAGCGTTCACGCGCCAGGTCTTGAGTTTGATTCCCGGCTGCAGAGTCATCAGTGCACACTGGTAAGCAGTCACATACTACGACGAAACGGTTACCTAACTTAGATTGCTTCATGATTTTAGTGAAACTCAACGATCTCCATAACCCTATACTAACAACTTATACTTAACTTGTGTGAACAACCTTTAAACAAACACGCTAGAAAATATGATTTAATTGTTGCAGATGTCAACAAATGAACGATTACTTTTTTTGGTGCAGACGGTTGACGACTATATTCTTCACCCCATAGTTTAGCATCCATTTGTAAACGAACATCATCAAAATACACATGAGTTTCAACCTTCTCAATATAACGTTTAGCAACATGATTTGATGCATATGACCAATCAGAGCAATGTGAAAAATTGGACAATTTCTTCCTGTGGAAATCAAAAAATATTAGAGAATCTCACATATCTACCGATTTCATTCAAAGTTATGGTATTCAACATGAAATAAAGTTTACTTTATACAAAAACAAGAAATTTCACTTGCACAAATGAAATCAATCATGTATAATTATTTATGGATATGACATGGGAATTATTAAGAGATTTTATTCATTTTTACTTAAAACATATAGATTTTGGTACAAATGAGAACGAAAATAAATATGCGCCGCACGAATAAGGAAATGAGTTCATGAAAAGATAGAAGGAAGGTGAACATAATCAAAAACAACAAATGAATAAAAGTAAGTGAACGAGAGCAATACGTAGTGGAAAGAAACAGTCCTGTTAAAAACATGCAACCAGGATAATTTTTCTCAGTTAAAGGAACCCCTTTCACTTTTGGAATGCAGAAGAAAACTACGATGGGATCCTCACTGGCTTCTATTCTGAGCCTTTTTTATTTTTTATTTATTTAAACACAAACATAAGTACAAAGAGGCACCAAATAGATATGCGCCACATAAATCATTCGATTTGTGTGAAGGCTGGGATATTGCACAGATGCCCAGACCGAAACAGATGGTGTTCTTAGAAGGCCACACCCTGAACCTTTGAACTGAAGGTCTGATCCACAAGGTAGTGGAGCAACGTCAGAAGATGCAGTCCCATGGTAGCCGGTGACCAACAACTGGTTCATATGCCATTTGTTATCTCAGGATACTGAAACCCATGTGCACCATTGGTTTGGAATCAGGGTTTTCCAACTCCGCTAAGTGAATCCTCCATATCCGCCAACCCGGTTAAAGTGCCGGACATTCGCTTTTCGTCCTCCCAATTTCGTAAACAAAACCCCCGCCGCGAAAGGCAGTGAGTAGGACTTCCCCGGTAGTGGTTGCATGCACGTGGCCATGTGAGAACATTTCGAGAGGGAGAGTTGACTCTTCCCACCCTTGGCCGTACTAGGGCATTATGGGACCCTTCTGAGCCATGTTCAGTGACATTTCAAACCATTGAGTCGCGATTTCTCTAGGATAACAACCAGGGAATCTTGATGGACCAACAGATGTCAGCTCTATACACCTTTCCTCCATACCCCAGTGACATGTCGTAAACTCACCACCCCTTTTCTTTCGCCATTCAGTTCCAATGTCGGCGAATAAAGCACGGCATATAACACACTAAGATGACATTTTTAATATATGCACAAACCACCTGAAAAGGTATTTCAAGATAGTGACATCAAATGAGTTATTGTCACAGCACTCAAACCTACTGCAGAACCTCAGCATTATTAACATGGTGTTGCTCCTGAACCTTTGGAACCCTTAGGACACAGTGATGATCGAGCACAGAGAGTCGCCTAACATGAACAACTCGGAGAGGCTAGGTTTCACAGACATAGGGAAATATTCGTCTCACCGACACATTGTAAGCCGGGCAGTGAGATTCAGATCCCGTAGGTACCAGATATGCCCCAGACTGATATAAGCTTTCACTCGCGCTACCACCAGTACTCATAAGACTAACCAGATGGAAGGGCTTTTCGATTACTTCTAATTCCTCGCAGGGTCCTGTCCGTCTTATAAAAGTACTCAGCATTAAGAGGGTGAAAAGTACGTGCTGTATTCACGGTCAATAATTACCAACTGATTGATTCCGATTTACATACCCGGGGTTTTACTGGGCAGTAATACAATATCATCCGCATACTCGAGATCAAAAAATCTTTCACCAGGTAACACATCCACACAACCATCAGAGCTGCTTCTCGGATGTCATTGATGGTAAATTTGAGTAGGAATTGTGAGATTGGGGAACACAACCTAGTTCCACGCTCCCAAATGCCCTGGTATGGCTGAGAGTGGGGTGGGCCCGCCCTCCCTCTCGAAACGCTCTCACATGGCCACGCGTATACAGCCTCTGCCAGGGAAGTCTTACTCACTGTCTTCCCGTGGCGGGGGTGTTGTTTACGAAATTGAGAGGACGAAAAACAAATGTCCGGCACTTTAACCGGATTCCAAACCAATGGTGCACATGGGTTTCAGTATCCTGAGATAACAAATGGCATATGAACCAGTTGTTGGTCACCGGCTACCATGGGACTGCATCTTCTGACGTTGCTCCACTACCTTGTGGATCAGACCTTCAGTTCAAAGGTTCAGGGTGTGGCCTTCTAAGAACACCATCTGTTTCGGTCTGGGCATCTGTGCAATATCCCAGCCTTCACACAAATCGAATGATTTATGTGGCGCATATCTATTTGGTGCCTCTTTGTACTTATGTTTGTGTTTAAATAAATAAATAAATAAATAAATAAATAAATAAACCTAGTCCCACTGCTGGAATGGAACAGTGGAAAGATAGTTGTATATCCTTACTCTGTTTTGGATGTTTGGGTAGTTTTCAAGATTTTAATGAACTTCAAATGTATTCTCTTTTTCAGCAGATAATCCTAGAGCACAATCCTATTCGACGAGCCAAACACGGGCCAGACATTAAGAAACACAACGACTGTTAGCTTGAAATAAGTGATGGTACCAATTTAGATATCAGTTGGTCATAATCTCTGGCTTGTAAGTGTTCGAGTAAATAGTCTTCATAGGGTTTGTGTTCTTTTTCGCTACGACTTTAATAAACCTGAGTAGAAATGATGCAACAGTCTAAGGTCGACGTTCACGATCGTCTCTTATACCACTTAGACTATATAATGATAAAACATGCAAGATTATTCTCTAGATCTACCCGAACATTTTGAAATTTTCGGGTAAAATATACCCAACTTAAGAGAAAATGTTACAACATAAATGTAAACTAACTTACGCACGAAAACATTCTCTCATAGCACCTCGATTGAATGGTGAATTTTCGATTTTTACACGTACGATATCTTCTATCCACTTGCCCTTAATAGCGTTATAACGATAACGCTTTGCCGTTTCTTCTGGAAGTTCTTGCAAATGAAACTTTTCCCATGGGTCACCACGAGAGGAGATTAAACTGAAGGCTGCCTTCCATAATGCCTAATTTTTGGGTTAAAATAAGCAATTTTTAAAATGTTAGGGTAGGTCAAGAAATGCCAGAAAATTTAATTTTTCTACTCATTGGGACATTACAAATGCATTTCTTTAAAAATGAAGGAAATCTAGGTCGGGCTAACAGCATACCAATCAAACAATTACACTGGTGATACTAAAAAGTCAAGTGACTTGTGACTCACTGACATGAGAAGTATTCTGAAGACCCTATCTCATTTTGAGATACCATATTTCTAGCAAATAATCCTAATACTATACAATCCAGTGCAAAATACTCTCCAGATATACAACGGTGAATATTGCATCCTAACATTTTAAAAATTTGCTTCGATATTATGTCCTTCACGAAGGGAATACCTCGAACAACAACAGCAACCCCCAATATTGCAGTCGCGATCTGCCAGAATAAACTAACTTCTGTCAAGGCATTTTATGGAACCTACAGAGACCTTATGTTTATAAACGGGACGCTACAGAACAGCGACTGTATTCATTATGTTTGCGATTTTTTGTATATGTAAATAATCCCCATCAACACTTTCTGACTAACTGATAAGTAGTTCTGAAGTTAGCTTGGTTTAATATTTGGTTACTGTAGGTTCAGACGACTTGTCTACATAAACCAATTTAGGATGACAAATTTGCTAACCATCAAGTTCGGGGCATAAAGAATTATAATCAGAATCCAAGCAAGCGTACCAAAAGAATTGGTGATAATGTAAACATTCGCGCCTTTATTAGTCTAATTGACGTTCAAGCCAGGATCCCGAACAACTGGCACCAAGCAGTATTAATCACGACTATGTCGAATGTTGATACTTTTCACTGATAGTAGTTCATGATCTCAACAACGCTGCAAAGTGCAAGCTCCGTTATTTAGTCTCCGATCACCAAAAACACTATCCTCTGTGCTTAGACATTCAACTCACACATCTAAGTTGCCAGCAAGTACCGTAACACCTGTTGAGCACACTTTGTTGGAAACCAGTTGGTAAAAATTTTATCTGCGCTCTAATCTGATGAAGGGAGAGCGAAGATAACACAAACACGTTGCATGCCAAACATTTATCTCTTACTCTGATTGAATATTGCATACAACGTGGTTTCCGAACCAACTGATGGGAAACTAGTTAACAGTACTTTACTTGAATGTTGAATATAGACCCCTGAAATACGAGTATTGGTAGGACTTCCCATGGTTTTAGTTAAACCGGCCTGTTGTCTGATCTACATTAAGCTACTGGAGTTAGATGTAATTTTTAAATGCTATAAACGGTTTCAAAATAACAGCACCAAACATTACATTAGACAACAGCCCTCGTAATCATTACTTTGGAAAATAAATATCGGTGATGGCCTGCTGTGTTACTTGGATAGATCAAAAGAAATATTTCGGTATATGGAAATGTAGGGATATAGAGATTTTATATACAATGAGTCTCTTTGGAATAAATTGTATTGATTCATAATTTATGAGCACCCATATGTGGCGCGAGTAGTTCACAATATTTATATCGCTCATAACCGTTAGTGAAAGCTGCGAAGGGGTAAACTCCGAACAAAACAGATGACTTGTAGGAATACCACATGTTTCATCCTTAGATCTCACCAATGATGTTAACTTTTCATATTTTACTGTCGAGAGGTATCACGAAAGTTTCAAAGTTAGGTCTTCATGATTGTCGTGTAAAGTGGATAGTAAACTGTCATATCTGTCCACAATAGCGTATAATGTGGGCAGATTGATAGAATAACAATGGAAAAATTCATCTTTAAGCCTTAATTTAGCTAATACATTCACTGCATAATTAGAAAATCCAGCCCCAATGGTACCAGGAGGTTGGATACATACAGACAATCTACGTCGATACGTGCGCTGTTGAAAATTGGCAACAGAGGACACTCAAGCGTCAAATTGCAGTCTCGTGCCTAAGTTATCAAAATTCATAATGACTAAAACCCAAAACAGTAAAATGAAAAGTAGGTCTGGCAAATATGATTTCTAAAAAGTGGAATTCCTCACACCTTAGCACGAGAATGTCTTGTAAATGCTGCATATTTGTTGCCAGCCTCGGATCGTTGGATTTTTATTTCCCTTACAGACAGCTTTCGTTGATATCTCGGACAAGATGCATCTGAGGGTATTTTAGGGAGGGCTTGTGGAAACAGATCCACTGGTGTTGATTCAGAAAGACTTTCTTCCATATGTCAAGCGAAAATCGACAAAATCCAAGCGACACATTCGTAATTCATCTCGACCTTCAAACTTTCAATATTCAGTGATCCGAGTGGATGTGCATGGAATAGAAAAAGCTTTCGCTTATCTGGCTTCTATTTCTAGTGGCAGTGGGTCAGTGATGCTTAAGTAAGGAACCTTAGTATAATTAGGTACAAAAAATATCGGTAAATTAGGATTCAAATTTGTGTACTAAGGATAGAAGGCCTACGGCCTATGTTATTCCTTTTCTAGTATGCTTCTGTGAGTGTCAAGTCTTCTCTCGAGAGAGTCAATTGAGGGTGCGGACACCACTGCTTCGGGCAACAGGTTCCAAGTATTGATGGCTCGGTGTGAAAACCTGTATGCCACGGGTATTTTGTTCGTTCTTGGCTTTTCTACTCGCCTGCTCTGTCCTCTGAGATGTCCCGATCTAGTGGGAAGAAAAAGAGAGAATAAGTTAGGCCCAAAGTCATTTCTCAGTATTCCGTACATCAAAATTAGATCTCCCCTTAATCTGCGATAGGACAGAGTAAAGAGGTTCAGCTTTTCATACCGCTCTTTGTATGATAAACCCCGGAGTTCTGGAATTGCACGGGTAGCTGCCCTCTGTACTTCTTCAGGATATCCGAGTCACATTTTAAACAGGGGCTTGCAGCTTGAACGCAGTTCTCAAGCTTAGTTCTTACTAAGGATGTATATGCTGTGGCGAACATGGTAGAATCTAACTTAGTGAATGTCCATTTTAAAGCCCAAAGGGTTCGAAACCCCTTAGCTGCGACCTCCCGACAATAGGCCGTCGTCTTAAGATCATGACTCACTGTCACCTCTAGATCTTTATGAGACCGAACCACGGATAATGGCACTTCCCCTATGTTGTACCTAATAATCTTTGAATTCTCCAAGTGCATGTAGACACACTTTGCCGCGTTGATAAGCATCAGCCACTCTTTGGACCAGTTAATCACATTATTTAAGTCTGCCTGAAAAGCACATGCGTCTGTGTCTCAAGTTACTACTCATCAGATCTTTACATCGTCAGCGTATAATAACATTGGAGACTGTACTATACTTGGAAGATCATTAACATACATTATAAAAACTAAAGGACCTAGGACGGAACCTTGAGGTACTCCACTAAGTATTGGTCTTCAGATGGAACACTTGGAATTTATTCTTACTTTCTGCCTACGACCTACTAGGAAATCCTTAATCCATTATAAAGGAGGTCCGGCAATACCAAGGTTTTCCAACTTCAATAGCAGTCTACTAGTTGGCACCTTATCAAAAGCCTTACTGAAGTCTATGTAGACAACATTTACTGAGTTTCTGTAGTCTAGCGCCTTTATCCAAAACTCCCTTGCTACAAGAAGGTTCGTTTTACAGGATAGATCCTTTCTAAAAACATGTTGTTCTATGTTTAGCAAGTTATTGGTTTCCATAAATGCCATTGCGGTCCATTTGACTATTCCTTACACTATTTTAACTACAACACTTGTGAGGCTTACAAGTCTGTGGTTCGATAGAACTTGTCTTGGTCCCGTTTTATGTATAGGAGTGACGAGTGCGTCCTTCCAGTCCATAGATAACACACCTTCTTCAAGTGACATATTCAATATCACAGTCAGTGGGGCCGCAATATATTGTGCAATATGTCTCAAGATTTTGGGGTGTAGTTCATCTGATCCTGTTGACTTTTCCATATTTAAGGTACTAAGAGCCTTGAGCACATCGTCTTAATCGAAGTCCACGTTGAGCAGGTGGTCTGTTGACCCTGTATTTGGGTCTGGTTCTTTGTCTAGAGGAGGTTCTTGAGTGAAAACTGCCCCAAAATAGTCAGCCATAGCCTCTGCTCTTTCCTGATCTTCCTCTATCATTTCAGATTCACCCCCTCCTTTAATTAGGTTGAGAATCTAGTGTTGCATCCTTGTTCTGTAGTTTGTGTACGAGAATATTCTCTTGGGTTGCTTGAGTGCAGATTATGCCAACTGCGTTTCATTTTTTCTCTGAGCTTCCCGAGTTTTCCTACCGATCTGTGCCAAGGCGGATGGCAACATTCCAACATTTCTTCTTTTGTCTTGGTAAACGTCGAATATCCCAGCCTGTCCAGGGATGGCCTTGTTTCTTCTTCTTTGGAACTGTTCATGGTATGTATGGTTGAGTTACCCGATTGTATAACTGCCTGAAAAGAGTCCATGCCTCTTGTACTGATGCCCTTGAATCAATTTCTCAGTTTTCAGCCGATGCTGCGGAGTTGATTGCCTCTATATCTGCTTTCCATATATTAGGACGGGCCGGCGCAACTGTCTGACAGGCAATCTCAGTCATGCATTTGAATAAGATGACTGCATGGTCACTTCTCCCAAGTGGTGGGAGAAACGTCATTTGACCAACGTCATCACCGTGTGTGAAGACTAAATCTAAAAGAGAAGAAGAGTTTTTAAATCACATGTTGTGAGATTTATAATGTGTTGGAATAAAGCTAATCCAATCGAGGTGTCAAACAGTTTGCAATCGAACGATGCTATCAATGACCCTACTTCCAAGTTAACCCAGCTTATATACGGTGCATTAAAGTCGCCTACTAAAAGGCTTTTACCTTTGTTACACCAAGACTTAGGTTTTCTTACGAGAAAATCATCTACCACACATTCTGGACTGCCGTATACCACAACTAATTCAGTATCTTGCTGTCTACATTTAAGCTTGCATCTCACCAGTTCACATGTTTGTGAATCATGTGCCACCGCCTCGACTGCTCGTATGGTTAGGGTATCTTTTATGTACAGGATAACCCCGCCTCCCCTACGGTTTAATCTATCATCCCTACTGAATAAAAAACCCGTCAACTGAATTTTATTATCTAATACTTCTGAAGTTAACCAAGTTTCCGAGACAGCAATAACATCCGGTTTTTCTTTATTCACCATTGACTTGAGCTCCACCATTTTATTTATTAGGCTGCAATCATTTGTGTAGCATACCTTTAAGCCTGTGGAGAACTTCCCCTTACCACCCAGAGTGGCTTGGGGATCGTTTTGTTTCTAACTTTTACAATTTGAAAATCCTAAAGAACGAGGTTTCTTTCACCGTTTCGGCGACGCTCATTTATTTCCACTTCTGAAGCTCGTCTCTTAATACTATCAGCTAGGCTGAGATCCTCACGGACGTATATTGCGGATCCAATCAGTTTACTTGAGTTACATAGAATCAGGTTCCTTTCTTCAACCGTGGTGAATGTAACCTTCAAAAGGCGGTTTTTCTGAGGACTTTCAGAATACACCTTTTTTCCTATTCTATAAAGCTTACAAATACTAACTCCTGAAACTGTATCTGGGAGTAGTTTGCTTATTAAAGACTTAATATGACTGAGATCGGGTTCAATTCTAGCCTTTGGTTCTTTATCGGAAGATTCTCTTAACTTATTAAAATGACTGACCTCTCAGAGAGATGTCTTGACACGCAGTTGAATTTTTGTTTCTGATACCGTCTCTTCCAATGACTTGCTAACCAGCTGTGTTTCGCCTACAGCTTTTTTCTTCTCAGTTCTTTTTCTCCGTACTGAAGTCCATTTATCATCACTCACGACAGCCACACCGGGACTATTTGGAACGGTGGAAGTCTTCGATTTCCACTACAGATGTATGATTACCGATGTCAATATGAAGCGGCACTTCACTCCTCGTTAATGTTGACGGAGATTTTACTTTCGCGTCGATCACAGTCGAGTGTTTAGCAGGCCCAGTAGCAGCACGTACTTTGCTGACACATTCTTCACCGTCAGTGCTCGTGTTGTCAGCGCAACCGCCATCGTTTTTCTTACAGGCCAATAGGTTCATAGCCTCCTGAATTAGCAACTTCTTATTTGTACAACAAAACATACAAAGCTAATGCGAGTTAGGCTTCGAGCATCTTTTGTATGCCGTAGGACTTAGACGTGCACACATCTTATGGTACCACTTTTTACATTCATCGCACAGCATTCCTTCCACAACAGGGAACAAGCAGTTTGGTAGTCGTCATTTATAAGTCTTACTAACCATTGTAACTCGATTAAAAAGGTTTAAAACACAATATGATCATAATGTGAACACGATTGTCAGTCAATCAGTATAAAAAAGGTACCACAGGACAAAGTTTATCAAAAGTTTTAAACCTTAACCAAAGTACTTTTAGTTAAAGTAGACCAAGAGTGCTTTTCGGGGAAACAAGTACACAAAGCAAGAATAATCACAAGTACAAAAATCATTTCTCTTTCAATTATCTTGAGCTTAGTCCCGTAACATCTGATGTTTTTTGTGTCACCAAGGAAACAGTGCATAATGTTGCACAGGTTAGCTAAGTAAAAATGCCCTGATCAATAAGAAACTTGCGCACACTGATAAATTTCACAGTTTAGTTCCATAATTCGTAAAAGATTTCCCATTCATATAATTGATTATACAGGTCAGGACTATTTTTTAATCCTTTTAGACTCCAACACTTGATTTCAAATTAGTAGTTACTCGAAAATTCCAATTAGTTGATAGAAATAATTTTAGGTAATCTAAAAGACCGTTTACTGTTAGTGATTGAGATGTCAAGCAAATAAAATCGTATCTTAGATTACATATTTATGAAACTGAGTAATAGTTTGTTTTGTCTGAGCAAAGAGAATTCAGTATGTTCATGTGATTTCTAGATACACTTTTCATTAACACAATCATAAACTCAGTTATTTGGCGCGGCCAAATGGAACCATCAGGTTGTAAAATAAGAATACCATCAAGTATTAGTTCGCCTTTTTCAAAGACAGATGGGTGGCAAATATTTGCTCAGTACTTTACAATTCTGTGTCTAAATTGAGCTTATTATTCTCAGATTAGCTGTTATTGAGCTCCAATTAAGCTTTGGGTGATTATCAAACCTCATATTTTAGATATATTACAAAATTAATTGTCGTAGTGATCCGAAAAAGACCCAAAAATACAAAGAATTTGTACAATTCTACCCCAACTATTTTTTTGTTTTATTCAAATGGACGAAGAAAATTGATTCTTTGACGTTTTCAGTAAACCACTGATATTCTCTGC